GAGAGCTGCATCAACCAAACTGGAATAACACTAAGGGAAGGCAGACCCCTGTTATTGTACCTGCTACTCCTCCTTGGATTCAGGTGTTGTCCTCATCTGAAAGGCAAAAACCTGGCTGTGACCTTGAATAAGAAGGTTCCTAAACAATGCCAGTCCCTGTCTCTGACAGAAAAAGATCAGGCTTAAGGAGTGAACTTACACATCATGTGGTGCAGTATCAGGAAATTATCAAGTTGACTCCAGTGTCTGCTGTCCTGCTGAGCACAAAYGTGAATGTCCTTTCTTGCAGCATTTTTGGTTGTTATAACTAATTCACAAGCTCCCTCTGCTGGGCTACCAGCATAGGAGAGCAATGGCAAAGCTCCTGTTAGGGAGGGTTATTTGCAGACTGACCCATTTTCTTCAGCTTATTTTGAGACTTTGTACAGCATCAGAAAAAAGTGTACTATCAAATTCATGTAAATGGCTTTTTAGAAGTGCAACAGAGAGATGTTTGATGTGTTAGGTGCATAATGAAATGTTTTTATGTGTGTAGAAGGTTTTTTCCACAATAATGCAAGTGTAGCTGTTACCTCSTGAAAGTGCTTGTGCATCTATCAAAAGATAAGGACACTTGGCTTCAGTAATGCCTTCTTTTACAGGAAAGAGCTCTWAGAAAATAAATACAGATCTTTTAAAAGAATTAAAAGCTTACAGTCATCAAATATATTCCATACAGTATGCAGTTTGATGTAGCAGTGGTTTTCAAATGAGCCAAGGGGCTTGTACGAACATTCAGAGAAATGATGAAGTGCTGAAAATGTTCCTCTAATCAGAAGAGCTCATCCTGCTGCTTTCTGCCTAATCCTCAAGGTCAAGATTTTTGTCGACAGTTTTCAAAGCACATCCATGGGGCTTAGCACTGTCATAACCAATAATTGCAAAATCTCTTTTAGTAGATTAAAAGGAGTTGTGAAATTATTGACTTCCGACTAAACAATCTCAGGGTGAGAGATTGCTYACAAAAAACAGGATGATGCTCTGTGATTGCTGTAGACATAGCACTTCCTGGCTGGCTTTTAACAGGGATTTACTGAATGAAGAACCTGCCTTAAATAATTCACAAAATTGTGGAGTGCCTTTATGGGAAAAGGCATATTGTCTGCAGTGACACCAGAGGAAAATGAAGAGACTTTACGAAAAATCACAGTGGCTTTTTTATTGTAAGTCAGGCTCTTAGGCACAGACAGTGTACAAATAAAAGGTACTGTAGTTCTGCCTGTGTGTTGTGCTTAAAGAAACAGGTATATGGGAACGTAGCTATCACCAGTGTGAGTAGAACAGTTATTTAGCAGCACTGAGCATCACTGGACAATGATGTAAAACAGAAGATAAATAAGTTCACCGACCTATTGATACTGAAATTACAGGGACAATGTGCCATGCATGTATTCCAAACGTCAGTCTAGTGAGGAGACTAAAATGAACATTTTTAACATCATTTGAGACAAAATTCGTCTATTCAGACCAAAGTGGGCAAGCCACCTATACTTAACCTGGAAAAGGAATATGTATAGTGTGTGTGTTTGATAAATAGCTGAAAGCTTAAAAGGGGCTTTTTACATGGGCATGTAGTGACAGGACAAGGGCAAATGGCTTTAAACTGATAGAAGGMAAGTTTGRTCTTGATRTTAGGAAGAAATTCCTTGTTGTGAGGGTGGTGGGACATGGGAACAGGTTGTTGTGGAGAAGTTCAAAGCCAGGTTGGATGGGGCTTTGAGCAGTCTGGTCTAGTGGAAGATATCCCTACCCATGGCAGGGGAATTGGAGCTAAATGGTCTTCAAGGTGCCTTCCAACCCAAACCATTCTGTAATTCTATSGTRGAACAGTTTATGATGTCTTAAAAAGCACAGAAAGAGTTAGCTGACATTTTRAAGCACTATTAATACATCTCTTAGTGTCATTAATCTTCCAGTTAAGTACTGACATGATAAAGAGTAATTTTGCCTATGCTCCTATGAAGTGACATTCAAGAAGATTCTCGAAATATGTATCTTATCTCAAGCATGGCTTTTCTTTCCAGGTGGCATATTCTCATATTGGTTTAATTCTGCATCAAAGCATCTGACAGCTCCAGAGGACATGATATCAATATACAATTTATCCTTTCAGGATAGCCTTGAGGATGATCAGTCTGTTTCTTTTCTGTCCCTAATTAAACATTGCTTCAGTAATTCTCAGGGGCAAGGAAGCATTGTTACTATACTGAAATGAAAATGAAATTTGTAGGACCACAGCTGCACTGTCTGAGGTTATGATTAAAGTATTCTATGATTGTTGTTTTGGCCATAAAATTTAGTAGCTTTATTAAAGATACTGTGAGAGACTATACAGAGACAAGCTGTCARTTATTGTGGTTTTTTTTGGTAAGGAGGTTTTAACACAGAATTGGTTGAAATAAAATTTTCAAGCCAACGGAGATCTTAAATATGGTTACTGATTACTCAGCCTTTAGCAGGCCACTAATAGTGATGGTAAGTTGAAAATTTCTGTTCCAGCCAACCATTTCCTCMAATAAGGAGCAAATGCAAATCCTTCATATTGAAGTGTTTTGGGAAACAGGCAGCAGTCCTKCAATGACTGTGGATTGAGGGACTTGGTAAGAGGTCTGTAGTCAACATAAAGATTTTTTTATTTAGCTATTAGTTAGGACACATCTACCTGGCATAAGCCCACAGGTCAGTCCAAGTGGCCAGAAATCCAGTTGTTTTCAAGATACACAGGTATTTTTCTTTCCCATTTTCTTTGGTCACRTGGAACTGGATCAGGGGGGTTGATTTCTACCATCCATTCTAATAACGATTTTAAATTCCATTTTTCATCTGACTTTGCACAGGAGCTGCTTGTGCATTCTGAAAAAGAGGTGATATACATTAGCATATTTCATTGTGCCCGCCAGAAATGTATACAATGTATAGACTTAAGTATCCATGGTGCTCACGTGTTTGATTTTTTACACTTACTTGGTATTAAAAAATGGTGAACAGTGCATTCCTATCTAGCTTATATTTCTTTATGCAGCACTGTGGAAGGCTGGATTTGGGTAGAAGTTTATATCCATTTAAAATACACAAATCAGCGTTCTAAAATAGTCATTAGTTCAATTTAAAGATTAAATGTGCTGAACATAAAAATAAGCTTAGCAAAACACTGTTTGTATTGAAAGCTAGTTGGTATTATTAAGTGAAGGAATCATCCCATACGGAAAATGAGCTGATTAGGATTTTCCTAACCCACATGCCTTTCCCTTCCAGAATTACAATTAGCAGACTTTATCCTTCACRTGTATTTTAAAAGGGTGACCTTGCTAATGCTTTTACGAGGTACGGAATTTGGAGGAGTAGGTTCCTCATTTCAAGACACTAAAATGAGAACTCTGGAGAGAATTCRGTATTTCTCACCATGTCTTTGCTCCCTCATTTGCTTAAGATTGAAAACATTTCTTTAAATTCTGTGAAGCTAAAATAATTCATTTTAAAATGACTGGAAATGAGTGAAGTCTCCAGATGTTAATGGCTTATTAAATTCTACTGCTGTAACATTAAAGAACACTAATCAAGATCAGAAKTAGGTTGTTCTCCAGGTTGTACAAATATCAGAGTCATTTAGAGCAGCTCTAATAAAATCCCTTGTTATCAGGGAGCAAGGTGAGACTCAAACAAGATTTTTCAGCCATTAGTTTTCAGTCAAGTTTTAAATGACATTAATTATCTGTAGCATCTTTTACAGCCCAAATGAGAGAATATAACAGATGTTATCCCTATATTAAAGCTATCAGTATAAACTTGAAGAACTAATTGTAAATCCTATGGTAATAAAAATTATAGGAAACCCAAATGTGTTCAGAAACATTTCAAAGATACTATTCTGATATTCCAGTTAACTTTAAGAATGCCATTTACCTTGTCAAGACTATTTGTACAGCCTTTTCTTTTTCTTCTGTCTCATTTTGCCTTTTTTCTTTTTTCTTCTGCCTCTTTTCATGAGTTGAAATATATGTCTCCAAAGTACTGTTGCCATATGGGCTTTCCCCTAAAGCCAAAACACGACTTCARTTAAATTATTTAATTTGCCTGGGTATTGGTCAATAATGTTCAGGTGTGGTTGACACAGGAGATGACTGATGATTGCAGTGAATTTCACATCATTAGAATTGTAGTTAAAACCTGTACAACTGATTCCTCACTGAATGCTTTATTTCATTAGCTTGGAAAAGTTTGTGTTTGGTGAAACATATGATTCATCAGTCTTAATTCTGACACCTCTAAGAGTGAGGCATTAGTCATTTTTTGAGACTGTGTTGAAGGCAGCTTTGACCTGTTTGTGATGCTGAAGTCTCACAAGCACAGCTAGCCTGTCTTCACAGAAGCCTGTCTTGCACTTCATTTTCCTTAGCATTTTCTTGTATTAAGAAAGGCTGATTCTTTTACTAAGCAGTTTCTGAAACCTAATACATAGTAGTGATTTTCTGTAAAATTTAGTACCCTCTTCCTTGCTTCYTCTGTTTTTAATCTTGTCTGTAAAAAAATCTGTTTAGGTCGATGTGTCACAATAAAGCCTGTAACATTTACTTCTTTAATCTCTTCCTTTGTCTCCTAATGCCTCTTCCCCCAGTCTGGAGGCTGCTGTTCTGCAGCTTGCCTGCTGCTTGTTGTCAGCTTCCATCAGACTGARGAATCTCTGGGAAGGAAAGACTCTTAGAGGGCCTCTTTTCACCTCATCTGTGCAGCTAAAGATTTGACATTCATTCCTGAGACAGGATGAAACTGTTTTTGAGAAACATTATGTAAATCAACTGTTACATAAGGAACTCTTAATAATGATGTACGTTACAGCATGTTTACAAGATTAAAGGCAGTACTTTATCTTGAGTACTGGCAAAAAAGCACAGTCCTGAAAAATGCCTTAAAAAATGAAATTATTGTAATAGAATTGATGTTTGTTTGATGTTTCTGTTTAGGTGCTGACCTCAGCACAAATTAAATCGATTTGCCTGGCCATACTAGAATCAGGAAAACAGTATGCAGTGAAGAAGAGGAAACCGGTCCCACTCATGTATTCCTACTATGGAACAGAGTATCTTGGTGAGTAAAACACACCAGCACCTCTGAGAGTGGTGCCGTGTGGAGATGCTGAGCTAGTAGGCATTTCAGAAATAAAACACATAAAATCTACAGTGTGGGTTTTCTCCTGAACCAGTTAGGACCATCCAGCCTCCTAAAACTGAAGTGGGAGTGGGGAGCTGGAGGGATGGGCTGGTGCTGGTGAGCGCTGGGGAATGCAAGAGGTGCCTGTGCTGCAGCAGGGGAGCAGCTTCCTTCCCTCCTCTCCTTGCTGCCCWGGTAAATCTGCTTTGCCAGCACAGGCAGTGAGAGGTGTCCATGCCTGTGAAGAGMAGGTTGCTCAGGGAACAGTCAGGGATGTTCTTTCTGAGCTGCTGTTGCCGTTCAGGGACTGGCAGAGTGGTTTTGGCTGGAGCAGTGTGACTCAGGCACGTGGTCAGCTGCTCTCATGGACAGCTTGGTTGGAGCTCATCTGATGCTGTGGTGAAAGTCCACTGAGCAGGGCCTTCGTGGGGTTCTCAAGGCACAAAATGTGAGATTGGTTCATGCTTCCTTGGCAGGGGAGCAGAGAGAGCAGTCCCCAAGCGCTGTGTTCCCCAGACCCTGGCGGGTGCAGACAATTCTTGCACTGAAATTTAGGTTTTAGCTCACTGATACTTGTCAGCCAGTAACTGGGAAATACCTATTTATGACCCAGATTCAGCAGTGAAAGAGGAGTAACACCTTGAAACAGAATTCAGTTCAGGTTCAGTTTCATTTCACACAGTGAGTTTCATATCTGAATGAATGCAGAAAGAATTCATGCATATTTTTGCAAAGCTAAAGGAGTTAGAAATGACAGCAGTAGTAAAACATAGTGTTATGCACCTAGAAATCTTTTATTCTAAGCACTATTCTAATATGCATAAAGAAGATGATGGAGCCATGCACTTGACAAGGAAATTGTTCAAAGGGAGTTGCAATGAGGTGGAGACAGGACCTAAGCCCACTCTCTAATTTAATTGTTCCTGTTCTTTSCAGGTGCAGCACATGGGCTTTCATCAATCCTGCAGATGTTGCTCTCCTACTATGAGTACCTGCAGCCAGCAGATCAGGAGCTGGTGTGGCAGAGTGTGGATTTCCTGATGGACCAAGAACAGAACAGCAACTGGCCCCCTGAGCTGGGGGAGACWATCGAGAGGGAGAACGAGCTGGTTCACTGGTGTCATGGAGCTCCAGGTTCTCTTGCCATTGATGCTATCAATAGCCAGATGCTGATCACATTGCTTTCCCACATTAGGTGATTCCATGTAGARGATAATCTCAGGTTAAATTTGACCAAAGTGACAAAGGACATRAAGAAGTTACAGAGATGTGCAAGCTAATTAATTGCTATTGTTCTTCCCCAGAAAAAACTGTATCCTGTGTACRTCTAACACAGATATAGCTTACAAGAGCAAGCTACTTCAGTGTTAAATTCAGACCACAACTGAGCAAAACATTGCCAACATCCTTAGGCACTTGAGTTGGTTATGTGTCAYGTGCATTCTCATAAGGTTACCATGAATTGAGCTGTGCAGTGTTCTGGTGAGGATTATGATTAATTTATTTAAATCCCCTCTAAAAATAGCTTCTTTTTTAACAGAAGTTAGTATGCATAACTGTATATAACTAGAATAAAGCAGTATGGGCCTCATTGGGGGAAAAAAGTTTCTTTTTCTCGTTTAGTAAAAATTGTATCTGTTGCCAGTGTAAGAAATTATCTTGCCCATTCTTGTGTTTCTGTCAGTATAAGCAGGTGAGATGAATGGAAATGGAAGACATTGCTAAGAGTTTACTGTTTTAAAGGAAAAAATGTGGCTGCTGTTTTAAAATTATGAAAGTTTGGGAATGTTAGAGTAAACCCTGAAATTCAGTAATGCATAGAAAAGATTGAAAGTGGTGTTGTCACAGGGGGTGAATAAGTACATCTTACTKTGTGCTTTTAGCATAGCAGATACTCCCACCTCCACATGGAGCATTTAGAGGCAATATTACCATGTAGAGCATGAGACTGCAGTTTTTTAGTGCATTAATCTTTATTTTCTTAAATGTTCTATGAAACCCTTATTACAAAAGGTAATCTCACTGTTCTTTTCCTAGGCATTGCATACCTGTTTGCCAAAGCTTACCTGGTTTCCAAGAAGCCTCAATACCTGGACACTTGTATCCGCTGTGGAGAGCTCACTTGGCAGAAAGGCCTGCTGAAGAAGGGCCCTGGAATATGCCACGGGGTGGCTGGTAGTGCTTATGTGTTCCTGCTGCTCTATAGGCTCACTGGAAACTCAAAATACATATACAGGGCACAAAGGTTAGCATTCCTGTCTTCTGGATTTAGGGTAATACTGGAAAGTTTCAGGAACATTTATAAGTAGAATCTGTGGTGTAACCTGGGGTGTGATCTGAGTGTTTAAGCTTCAGGGTCAGTTCTAGCCTTGAGTTGTGGGGGAACTCTGGGGAGCTCTGCAGTGTGGTTCCAGGCTGCCTGTGGTGCTCCCTCCCTGCCCAAGAGCCTGCATTCCTCMAGAGGGAACTGGGCTGGAAGCAGAGGAATCACATGCGTCCAGGTCTCATCCTGATACGATGTCAAAACTCAGACAAGTTGTGTGCCAAGGTTTAGGAGCAGAGTAAAAAAATATTTGTTATGATTTTTTCAGAGTCTTTATTTCGTATTACTAGAAATGAAAACTTAAGTACAGGATGTGGTGTGCAGTTATTTTATGTTTTTTTAATTTATCATTCCTTCCTTTAGCTTAGCTTAGTGGGGTTAATTCTGTTTTGTCTGGGTGCAAGCACATATAGTCCAGTGAAAATTCTGTCACAGTGCTGCAATTATCTTTAATTATGCATCTGTAGTTTATTGTACCTGTTTAAATACACAGGATTCAATGTTYGTTATTGTTTTCCTTACAGCCTAGAATAAAAAGGGAAAGTGGCATAGTAATTAGGATGATTGATTTTCAGCCATTTACTTACTTTTTTAATTTGTTTAGCTATTTCAGCATTACAGAAAGTGTTGCATCAATGTGAAACATGGCTTGCAACAAAAGTTAATGAAAAGTATTTGTTTAATGATGTCTTACAGAAATCAGAAAAAGCTCTTAAGCATAATGTATAACAGATTGCAAAGGTTTGTCTCTTCCAAATCTGATGAACCTCAGTTTCTTATGGAARTTAGATAGTGTAAAATTTGCAGATAAGGTTAAATAATGATAATTCTATTTTTTAATTACTGAATGTTATTAAAATGATGTTTCAAAAAAACAAGTAGACAGAGAGGGACATCAAATAATAACAACCTCTTTTTTTTTTTCTCTTAGGTTTGCAGAGTTCTTATTTACAGAAGAATTTAAGTCTGGTTCCCGGGCACTAGAAAGTGTGTATAGTCTGTATGAAGGTTTTTCAGGAACTGTGTGTTTCCTGACTGACTTGCTGCAACCCAACCAAGCTGAGTTTCCTCTCTTCAGTGTCTTTGTCTAAAGACTGACGTTCTCCAGGGCCACATCCCCGTGGTGATGGGAGAGGGCACCTGCAGTTTCACTCATTTGTCAAGACAGGCTATTTACAAAACAAGCCAGGGGTACCACTAATGCTAGCCTTAATGTAGCTGGGAGTCAGATCAAAAAGAAAATACACTGGGGCTBGGGGGGGTGGGAGGGGAACATGTGTGGTCAAAATAAATGGGTCAGTGGGAAAAAAAAAAGGGGAACTGATTGAATCTGATGTCATAGATATTTATCTAATTATTCAAATGAGAGAGAAAGGGGCATTATCAAACTTTTAGTCTGGTGRAAAAAAGGCAAGCTAGAATTGCAGGGACATGGAAAGAAGGAACAGTGATGCATCCAGTAGGTTTTAAAAAGAGTCCTGCAAAAACCATTAATGGGGCAATGCACTTATTGGAGAAGGTGTTGTAGACAGGTCACTGCACTCCACAAAGGCAAAATCTGGGATTTTTTTTACCTAAACCACATCTGCTAGTTTTGGTAACATGTGTTAGGAATACCTGTATCTTGGAGCTCTTTGGTCTTCATATAATGCATCTAATGGCAGTTGTGTGGATAGCTGTGTGTTCAGGCTGCAGTTTCACAGTTCTTTTCAGCAAGTGGGGTCTCGTGTACAATTGAGCAGTGAACTGGACCTTTCCTTTTAGATCTCAGTCTGTGGATAGGAGCTAGTCTTCTTTCTGATCTCCTGTAACTGTGTCACTTGTCAGTATTTTCCCAGTCAYGGGAAAGATGGGTGGAGCCATAGAGAAGACTTGGATTGAAAACAGATACAGCAGGCTGATGCTTTCTTAATGGTACAGCATTGCTAGATAAGTACTGTTCAGTGATAAAAAAGTTTTCTTTAAAAWTTAATACCTTATAGCAGCATTTCTGAACAGTATCCCAAGTATTTCAGACAATGAAACACCTATTTTCCTTGATGATTTCTTCACTACAAACCCTGCAAAGTGAATACAAACCAGGGATGGCATACTGATCTTGAGGAAAAAACCTGATAACAAAACTCAGAATTGCTTCTTTTCCCAAGTAACAAAACAATGTATATGCCCAAATGATTTTTAGCTAGAAAATCATTTAAATAGAAATAAATGGATTGATCAATACTAGTTGCACTAGCACTTAAAGTTGCAATTATATGCTGTTTTCTTTGTACTATAGATATGACATGGTATTTGAAAGCTAAAGAAAATACTAACATAGATTTGTACTAAAAAATAGAAGATGAATATCCGTATTTAAAATATATTTACTATTTATTTATTTATTTTTATTTATATGGGAATAGTGTAATACCTGCAAAGACAAATTGGGAAGACCAATATGTCAAAAACTGAAGTTAGASAGAAAAAGCTGCTGTACATGCACTGCCAAAAAAAGTAGTCTCTCTTCCTGCATTCTCAGCTGGAGGAGATTACAATWTCTTTATTTTTAATGCCTAATGGATTAAAGTTCCCATTTCATTTCAATGGGCTTTGATCAGGCTATAAGTTGGAGCCGGGTCTTGCAATCCTTCCACATTTTAATATAACAATCCTATTCCTGCTCTTGCCACTGTTATTTTAATGAGATAGCTTGCATTATTATGAGCTGCAGATAAGGATTTCTGTTACTTTGTCTTGCACTGTGCAGCTCTAATTAATTACTTAATCATAGAAATAACCATATTTCATTGGTGAATAAAGCAATGCAGTTCTGTGTCAAGAATCTAGGTATCTTTTAGTGAATAGAAATTTTAAAATTCAATATGCATTTGTTACGTGTTTATTAAAACACATAAGTTAACAGGTTAGATGGTCTTTTAAGAAAGCCACTAATGTCAGTAACTTGGTTMYTCTGAGCAGTGAGATGTGTTCACAYAGAAGGATGAATTCCATAGGGAGGTTTACACATGAAGCTGGATCAAAAAGTCAATGGAGATGTGAGTGTGCTCTGCCCASCCCTCTTGAAATGCTCCTGTTAGATCAAAGTCAATTGTCTGTAGTGAAGATCCCAAATCCATTAGGATTTTTTATCTAGTTGTTTYCTGTAATGTATTTGACTCATGTATTTCCTTACTGGAACCTTCTTAAACAAAAGTTTAAGGGAGATAAAACTTGGCCTATCCACTTCTTTCCTGTGGTCAATCACTTTTCAGTTTTTACAGAAGGGTGATGTCACTCAGCTCACATGTGAGTAATGACATTTGTGCCACTGCATTTAAATAGCTCCTGTGATTGTGTTCTGTCTACTGGAAGACAGAAAGAGGTTCTGCTGTGATGTAGACTCACACTTCTCCAATCCTTCAATTATTGCCTACCCTTATATTTAGAAATGCAATCATAAACAAAAGCTATCTTGTGTTTTGATAACTACACCCTTAAAGAAACCCCAAACTCCAAACTTGACCCTTAGCAGAATCYACCCATATCAGAATAGTAATCATGACCTTTTGATTTTGTCCCCAGTGCCTACTCCTTAATTATCAGTAGGGCACAACATTTAATTTTTTCCACTTATTTCTCAGGAGTTGCTTGAAAATGAAAACCATTGCCAAAACCTTAATACATCTAAAGTATTATAAATCAGTAACTTAGATTTTTAGAGCAAGTTATGASTACTGATACTATAACATATACCACATATGTGTTAAAACTTACCATAATAGCAGTAGATAAAATCATTTTTATTACACATAAATTCCAATGGCCAAGTTTACATTTATTTTTAAATTTTATTCTTCATAAATGGCAGGAAATAAACATTAAGAACTCATTAACTGACATTAAGTGTCAGTTTTSTAGTGGTTCTTCCTGTGTGTCTCTTTTTGTAGTATTTCTTCTAATTCACATTCGGAGGGGACTGATCTTCACTGTGTTGTCATCAACAACACACATAAAACAGATCTCCTGTCTCTACAACCATTCTCTGTATATGGAGCCAAATGTTTTGGCTTCCTGAGAGAAAGAAGGCAGTTATTGGAGCAAGAGTTAGTCCATTCAACAGTGAGAAAACCCATGTGACCACCCAGKTTTTGAATTCGAGGTCCCAAATATCTTTGCATTTTATGTAAGTTTGGCATTGACTCCAGCAAGGGCAGCACACAAACATCCAATCTCATGGGATACATCTGGTAAAAGYCTTGGAGCGTAATTGTTCATCTCTTTCATCAGATGTGGCAGTTTGAGCTTACTCATAGAGATYTGTGGCTTTTCTTACCTGGCTAGGTTAAGGTGGCTACTGGATGTGCTGCAGTCACAGCTTCTGAACACAGTGCAAATACACCCCAGGGCTCTTTGGAAAATGTTCACYAATTGAGCAGGGGTTTTGTCATCTTTTCCCTCCTTATTTTCTATCTGATTTTTTTCTCTGTACTCTATATGCTGTTTCAAATGTGCCATTGCAACCTTTATTTGTTGCTTTTAAGATGTTGACAGGAAAGCAACCTGAGCAGAGCTGTCAGCACTTTTCAGTGTAAYAGAAAGTAAGGTCCTCTGTGTACCCTTCTTTCTGCTTTGAGAAATCGATCATGCAGCCTTTGTTAGACATTTTCCATGGGATGCTRTCTCCTCCTGCTCCCAAACTGSGCCCTTAYGGACTGAAAAATGTATTCCTGAACAGATTCTGCCATGGTGCTGTGACAAAGACTRTGTTAYTGGAAACTCAAGAAGCCTCTTTCAAAGAGTRAAACACAATAATTGTGTCATGTTTGCACATTAGTTTCTTGGTTGTGTTTAGTTTCTAAAGTGTAGGCAATAGGAATTTAAGTGATACAGTAGTATTTCTGATTATGCTGTTAAAGCAAAGAGGATGCATTATGTGGGTATTGGTGCTTATTTGTGATGTACCTGTGTTAGTGTGGTGCTATTTGTGAGTAAAGCTGTAGATTACACATCAGTTCAAGGAGCTATATACTKTTCATGACTTTTAACCTGCCATCCATAGATTACTGTCAGGGAATAATTTTGAGGGAAACTAGATCTGCAGTGTCCAAATTTATTGATTTCAGGATTCACACAACTCATTGCAATAAGTTTTATCAACAGTACAAATCTGAACAAATACTGTATTTTTACCTGCTTCTCACAACTTCTTTTGTGCCACTGTTTTTAATATCTGCTTTGTTTGCCTCAATTGTTGCCTTCAGTTTCTCTGCCTTTGTTTCCCAACCTATGAATAACTTGAGGGGGCTGAAGAAGCAGCCCAGGTCTTTTGTTCTTAAAATAAGATTGATTGATTTTACGTAGCAGGGTGTTCTACTAACTTGCATAACATTATTTTATGCTCCCAGATGGTCTCTTCTCACTGGCTGTGCCATTTCCCACCTGCTAAGGAAAAATCATTATCCTGTATAATAACTGTCATGGGTGTTTTACATCATCAAATAAAACAGAGGCTTTGTAGGGAGCATGGYCACTTCTCCAGTATTTCAGTTCTGTTAGGACAATCAAAACCAAGTCAAATGGCTAAACATTCCAAAATACATTTTTAAACTGTTCTGGGAAATATRCATAAGTGAATGCAAGTAAAGGGATCACCTTTATTGCTATTCTGTCAAATTAAGTAATGCCACTTTGATGTTCTAATACTGATTATATATGGATGTGGAAAGAACATGACAAGAATACTCATTAGTTTTTGGTGAAAAAAAAGAACCATAGGTATTTGCTGTATTTGGAAACATATGGGGGCAATATGTGCAAATGGAAACTTTGCTAAGCAATCAAATTTTTGTACTCACAATTTTTTGCATATACAGTTACAGCATCTGCCAGCACATTGCATGGTTTATGCCAACAGTGACCTATTTTAGTGTATGCATGCGTTGTGAGAATATATCCTTGTTCTTTGGATCTCTGAGGTCTGCCAAGTAAATCTCAGGTGCAGTAATCTCCTACATACCTTGAATATTCACTGGCATGAGTGCATATTCTAATCTGTAGGAAGATTAGTATATCAGGAATAAAATTGCCCTATAGATAYTCAAAGAGTAATCTTGCTCTGAAGAAATACACTGGTAGCAATTGCTGGCTGGCAGCACAGCCTGGACTKCTCTGAGAAGACATTTCAATTTGTATAAATGTCTTGAACTAAGATGTGGCAGCAGAARGCTAAATTGAAAAGAAATAAGATAATGACCAAAAATCCCACCACGAGGGGAACAACGCACTTCAAAGCCATAAGCCAAAATTGCTCAGGGCCCACAAAACAATACAGCAATTTAGTGATGTGAATAGGCTTTTCCAAGGGAACAGCACAGTGTTTCATTGCACAGGTAATGGTACAGCGAGCACTATGCAGGTTTGAGCTGCCTTGAACAGCACTTTATTGCCATTATAGTAAAGTCATCATATGTTGAAAAAGATTTGCCTGTGAAGGAGTTGCCTGTAGCTGAACCTGCTGCCTACTCCTGTCTTTTAATGGAACAGAAGTAATGTGCACTATCCATGATGAGGCAGTTTAAAAAAATCCATTCAAGAAGCCAACAAGCACCAACTTTTCAATCTGCCTTTGAATTATTAAACCTTCTGACTAATTTGTACTGTTGTTGTTGGTCCTATACCCCATATATTTAAAATTCTACATCATGCTTTCAAAAAAGTTAATTTATWAACAGCAATCTGCTTGAAAATACATAAGGCCATATTTATTTTTAATGCTTAGAAGGGAGTCCCTTGACTTTGTTCATTGCATGACTCAAAGAAAAGATGGAGGCACTTAGGTCCAGTACAGCAATACCAACTAGAATGRCAGAAAATTAGTTAAAAACTCATTTTTTCCCAGTGGTATAATGATATTTGAATAAAAGRGATTTTACAGTGTACTGATATTCAGCAACAGCATTGTATGACTATGTAGAAGTTCTTAAGTCAGTTAAATCCCATGGAAAATAGAGATCCTAGTCAGACATGTATTTTTACTTCATATAGAAGAGAAAGGCTGTCTGACCAGAAATGTAACTCTGCTTCTGTCTTCATTACCGTGACCGCACATCAGAGAAGAAAGATTTCCTTTAACAATGATCTGATTTTGCTACTGAATTGGCCTCCTGCACTCATTTTAAGGGCCTGATAGGGCACCTGCTGATGTCAGTGGTGAACCTCCACTTGATTCCAGGCATGTAAGGTAGCTTCTTCCACATGTGTGAAACAGGGGTAAAACTATGTCATTCCAGACCCTGGGCCTACAAACTTTCCTTTACTAATGAATCCCATGGAATTAATAAGGCTTGTTTGTACAGTGTGAGGAAAGCACAGATGTTTGCATATGCAGGGCCCTGTTTGATAGCAATTTATACACATTTTATCTCGGTATCTCTGCAATATACGTGAATGCCAATACAAATAAAAAGTACAGGGAACTTATATGGCATTATTTCATGTCTAGTTTGTGTTGGTGACACTTGATTATTCAATATATTCCAATGTGTGATGTTCATTCCTTGAGTATGTGCCACACCCTAGATTGGTTTSTCAGTGTCACAGCCATGATGTGGTACAGGCCTGTAGAATCAAGGTTGATTTGATTCTTTAGAGATGCACCTTATTGTTTGAAAGCAGGACCCCTGCTTTTCTAATATTTTAAACACTGTGATCTTTCAGAATGTGTTTATTGTATTAGTTTTGTATTGTAGATTATGATAGAAACTAGATTTTATAGCTTTTTAAAAGCAGTGATAATATTAAGCTTCATAGTGGCAAAACAAACTGTGTATATCCATATTATGAATATTAAAGCTGTGATTATATTTTGCCTTAAATAAAAGTCCAACCTTAAACAGTACGATTTTGCATTGGATTGTTTATTTCTGTACTTGTCTTTCATAGAGCTCTTCCTTCCAGAATAGTCACGACTCAGTGCTCCAAAAGCTCTTCAGTGGTTATCAAAAATAAATGATTTTAGAATGAGATAAATCGTTCAGGCTGCACACACTGCTTAGGTAAAAGTACCTTATGGTAGCTTCCCACAAGACAAGACAGGTTGCTTTTGGTCTGTAGATTGAAGTTTYCCACTCTTGGTATTTATTGTCAATGTGCTTAAATCTCAGTTTTCATGGCCTCTTCCCTTTCCAGAAAGACCCCTCCATTCTCAGTGAAGGACATTAAATTCACTTAGGCCTGCCCACAACAAGTTTTCCATCTTTGTTGTCATGAGCTGAGCTCAGACTGAGCTGAGAAATGTGACCCCAGATTTGCCAGAGCCATTCAAGAAAAGACCCAAACAAAGTATTGGCATATTTGGTATAAATCTGGTGACACCCTAATTTGCATTAAAGATCAGTGGCAGATATGCAGAAGTAGCCATTAGCGTTATCCCATTAATAATGTCTCAGAATCCTTATCTTGCCTTTCTCTAGTGCTCCTGGTAGGTCCCAGGTCTGTAACCCCCACATGCAGATCAGCAATTCCCTGGGAACAGACAAGAAAAAAGAAGATCAATTACTCAGAGCCAGCTGAGCATGAACCAAGGACCTGCACCAAGAGGAGGGAAGCAATGACTGGAGATTCCTGYGCAGGACAGGCACCATCTGCCAACCAGACTTGGTACCTCAGTTCTGTTTCTTGCCAGGTGCTGAGGTTCAGGATCTCATGGAGAGACTGCAAAGATTTGTCTTTTCCTCAGGCTGCCACCTTGTGCTGCTCATCCATGCAGGCATCAGTGATACTGACAGGGTGCCTGTACACATCTCCAGAAGGACTCCAGAATTTTYTGTKGCRAGGGAGAAAGGATCCTGCTGATGARGGGGAAAGGCCCAGGGGCAGTGGGCAAATGCTGCAAGTCAACAGCTGGTGTCACAGCTGCTTTGGGGTCTCTGGGCTGAGGAACCTTTGAAGGAAAAGGTCTGGCAAGCMAGAGRAGATCYACCTGGCAAAGTCCTAAAAGGGCRCTTCTGACRCTGCCACACCACCCTGCTCAGGGGAACTGAGCTGGGTGCATCAGGGGAGGCSCCACAGCTCTCACAACATCTTTTGTTTATTTGGTTTTGTGGAGGTCCATTTTTTTATTTATTTGTGTAACCATCTGTCTCTCAGCCTTTATTGTTGCACAGGGTTATTTTCTTCCTGGTACAGGACTTTGCCCTTGCCCCTACCTTTCAGGATCTCTTTTTCATCACTTTATAGAGTGCTCTGCCAGGACGGTGTGGCCAGGTGGGGGCTGGTCTCTTCTTCCAGGCAACCAGCGATAGCTCTAGAGAACACGCTCTCAAGCTGCGCCACGGGAGGTGTAGTTTGGACATTGCGAAGAATTTCTTCACAGAAAGAGTGATTAGACATTGGAACGGGCTGCCGATGGAGGTGGTGCAGTCACCATCCCTGCAGGTGTTTAAGAAAAGCCTGGAGGTGACCCTCAGTGTGTTAGGAAAATTAATCCACAAGCACTAGAGGTTTATGTCTAAAAAGGAGACAGAGGAGTCTTGCAACTTTATTCATGAATAAAGGGAGAGGTCATGGGCATTCTCATGGGATCTCTCAAATTCATAGAGGACGCAGCCTCCTTTTATCCCAATTTCCCGGCCGCAGTCCCCTCTCTCTTTCTCTATTGGCTGAGGTGCTTGAAAGTTACAGGCTCCCCGAAACGCCTGATGAAACCCCCCCCTTCTATCATACATTGCCCCGCCCCTTCAGTTTACATCTCTGTGTTTCTGTTTTGGTAGTTTATTTACATAGTTATAGATAAGTCAACCAGTGGAATTCTTACGGAAATCTTTTTTATTGTTTCTTTMTATCTCCCAATATCAGCCTTATCTCACCCTAGAGTTAGAGTTTGTTTGTAAAGACACTACTTTCTTATTCTTTTTAGTGCCATGGTCAGGTTGTCTCTCCCAGCCTGAGCGATGCTGTGATTGTTCGCCCTGCCCCGCCTGAGGAAGCGCCCTGAGGGGCGCCCGCTCGCTCCTTCCCCCGAGCCGCTCAGCTCAGCTCCGGCTCGTGGCTGAAGGACACGCGTTGAGGGGGAGCTCCCCGCGCACCGCCGGGGAACCCTCCCCGCTTACAGCCCAGCCAGGGTCGAGCCCCGGCCAGCACCCAGCCCCGCCAGGATCCACCTCGGGCCCGGTTCCAGCCCCAGCCTGCRGAGGCCGCGGGCCGGCGGCGAGCGCCGCGCTCCCTCTGGCGGGCACCGGGCCCCAGCGCTCCTCAGCGGCGCCTGGGCTGGGCTGGGCTGGGCGGGCCGGGCTGGGGCGGCCGCGGCGATGAAATTCCCGGGCTCAGTCCTCGTCTCCCTCGTCCTCTTCGTGTCCGAGACGCTGGCCGCGCTGTGCCTGAGCGCGGGCTACAGCGACGCGGGGGAACGCATGTGGCAGGGACTGACGGTGCTCTTCGCCCTCATACCGTGCGCGCTGGTGCAGCTCAGCCTGGTCTTCATCCACCGCGACGTGAGCCGCGACCGCCCGCTGGTGCTGCTGCTGCACCTGCTGCAGCTGGGGCCGCTCGTCAGGTCGGTGAGTCCGTGCTGCCCTCGGCGGGCCGGGGCCGGGGCTGGGGCCGGGGTCGAGCCCCGGAGCCCCCGGAGCCCCCCGGCCTTTGTGCGCTGCGGGCGGGGCCGCTCCCGCCCTGCACCGCCGGGAACCGGGATCGCGTCCTGCCGCAGCTGCGGGAGGAACAGCGTCCTTTGGGAATGCTTCAGGCACAAACCTGTGGGCTGACCCCCGAGGAAAGGGGTCTCAGCCCTGCCGGGCCGCGGGGASTCGGGAGTGCCCCCTCCGAGCCCCGCTCTGCGCTGCGTTTCCATCATCCGTGTGGCTTCTTGCAGGTTGTGTCTGTTCGCTGCTGGCTCATCCGCAGCGCTTTGCTCTCAGATCAATTCCAAGAGAGAACGAGAGATTCTTCACTCGGTTGCGAGTTTAGAACAACGATAGTACCCATCCCATCCATGCATCTTGAAATCTGCTCTGATTTGTCTCTTCTTTCCAAACGTGAGCTTCCTATCCCAAATYGCTTTGGAGATTTTTTCTACTACAGTTCAATGTCTCACTGAAAATACCCTTAGGAAAAAAACCCCCACAAAATAGTTAGATTAAAAGTTAAAGCAGTGTACAACTCCAAGACAAAATGTTTCCTGAGGGCATTAAATTTAAATTTATATTCATATCTTTTATTTAAAAAGAAAGATAATAAAATGCAGTGTGTCTGCAGTAGAGGCTAGAAGTATCACCAACTTTTTGAAACTTCTGGATAGTGTATGAAAGAAAGATTTGTTCACACTAAGAATGGTGAACAGTTTGGATGTTACAAAATATCTTACACTTCAAAAACATTAACTTCTTCTATAGCCCTGCATGGATTTTTTTTATTTGCTTTACTAATATTTTAAATGTTTAAAGCCATTTAAGTTATGGCTTAACAGTTATTTCGTAAGGAACTTTGACTTTCTAAAAGGTAAGAACAAAATGCTTCCACGTTCTTGGAAAATAAGAGAGGAAYGAAAGGGAAAGGAACTATCAAAAATTATGTACGTGACATTTGTCATGCTAAATCAATTTCTTGAGATCAGACAAGGAAAGAATCTAATGTCAAGCTAGAATATGTAAAGAAGCAAACAAAGGAATTAAGCAACCAGAAGAAATTGAAGGATTTGCTCTTTAATTATCTGAAAGAAACATAGACTTGTGTTTTGACCTCAGCCACCGAGCATGACTTGACTTTTTGTTTCTTTCTCAACATCAAGTTTATCTGTTTACAACACAAATCTTATCTTGTGCAGAACACAGTTCCTGCTCTCTTAGGAACTCCCAGCTGCAGCCACTGCTGTAAAACTAGTGAGCATATGGAAGCCCTCTCCTCTCCTCTAGCGTGTTGCCAACTCTGCATGTCTTCATTTCTCAAAGATTTACAAACCTAGCATTTCCAGAAGGTTTGAAGATGTTCTGGATGTGCTGCAGCATATTTGTGCCATAGTGGCTTCACTGATTCCTGTGATATCATTTAGGCATGACGAAGTCATGTGTGTTAACCTCTCTCTAAATCCAGGATAACTGGAATTATAATTACTAGTTTTAAATGGGTAGTACACTCATGTGACCTGAAAACCTTCTTTTCTGCTAAAGGCTGAAAAGGCTTCTACAAATTAGAAGTTTAATAGAAAATAACTTTTCTTTAGTTTTAGATGTCAGTTTGTAGGATACAGGACAAAASTGTGAGAAGGAAAAGTGATCTGAGACAGACTRTAAAGGGKTTTKKGGGTTTGGGGCTTTTTTCTTTCCTTRCCTTCCTTCAGCTAAAGATTGCTGTATCTGTCAGAAGAGGAAACTGATTGCTTCCTGTCAGATACAGCTCTGCATGTAAATGTTGATGTGTTTTCAGCACAAAAAGTACCTTACCTTTCCYTGCTTTGCACAGGAGGCTTTCTTACCTGCGTGGACTGGCATACACACACGGCTGAGGTGATAGCTAAAGGCAAAGTATTTTTTTATTGTATCATCATAGCACTGTGGCTTTAACTTTTGTAAGCTGAAAAGGACCATTGTCCTTGAAAGCATTTTACTCCATCCTTGTAGGCAAACCTCTGCTCCTTTGCTCCAGAGAATCCTGCTGCTCTTAGTCATCTGCTTCCCTCGTGTGAAGCCTCACTCCATCCTTCCTGCTGGGACTCTTGAATCTCACTGGCAAAGCCCAGGGCTCTTTAGGGAGGGCTGGGTCAAATTAGGTCAAATAGGACACAGACAGTAGAGCATCCCCAGGGTCTGTGTGCTTGTGGCATGGGAATGAAACGTTTTAGGAACCTTTGGGCTGTGTGTGAGGACGTGCTGCAATGAAAGGCTGGCAGTTTTGGCTAGCTTTAAAAGAAACTTAACACTAGCTTTTTAACTCTCYCTGTTGGGTTTGGTATGGTCCAGGATAGTCAGGATGTCTCTGTTAATACTCARATACTCAGAGATCAATGCACTGCTTTACCATTCAGCCCATGTATATTGTGTGAGATTTTCTTCCATCTTAAAATCTAGATTTTTTTTCCCCTTTCCTTTTTTTCCTTGAAATTTCTTTAAATTTTGGGGAATGGTTTGGAAATATCTTGGCAGGGAAGAAGGGTATTTAGCCTTGCAAGCCAAATGATTCAGCCTATTTTGAATCATATGAGTGATGGGAAAAAAAAAGTACTTTYTCTCATAAAACCTCCTTGCATGCCACCACCTTCCCCAAACACCCACACTCCACCTGTTTGGGAGGCACTCGCTGTCCTGCTGCTGCCACTGGAAGGACTAAAATTAGGTAGCATCCCTCTTTCTGGAGAGGACTTTYGGTGCACTGTTAATGTACCCTTTTTTAATTTCTTCTCCCACTCCCTAGGAGTTTCTCTATAAATTTGGAGCAATTTGTAGAGTAAAGTTCCTATCTCCCTTAGTGGCCTGGCTGTAATCCTCAGGATGCAGGCATGCCAGATGCTCTGCAGAGACTTGGCTGGAACAAAAGTGACTGCAGGTTTCCAGGCATCATGGGGGATTCCTGCAGCATTTCAGGTCAGTGCCACTCCTTACAAGTGCACTGATTTGTATTAGATTTGTCTTAGATGCTAAGGTGTATTTGGACAGGTTTTGGTTATTGGTTTTGGGTTGTTTTTTGTTTTTGTTTGTTTTTTTTTTTTTTTTTGTAAAAGGAGATTCTGTTACCACATTAAGTAAATTGTAACAGAAAAACATTACTTTAACAGTAGCCAATGTCAATGAGAGTTTATTACATTTTTCTTTTCTCTGGAGTAGGTCATGACTAGTTTTATGGCTGAGATTGCTCCTGTGCTAGGGTCTGTCTCTTTGTTCCCTTCACTTGGATGGCATGTGTAGCACCAAGGTCATATTGAGATTTTAGGTGCTGCTACAGTTCCAATACATAATAACTGGATGTAGCTTTGCTGGTATACACCTCTACACGTAAGGATTTTTTGAAAATGTGGATAACCCCTGAGAGTATAAGGGTTAAGGTTGGAAAAGATCATTGAGTGCAGCTGATAACCCAGTACCACCATGTTCTCCTCTAAACCATGTCTGTGAATGCCACATCCACTTGCCTTTTGAACATTTCTAGGCATGGTGCTTCCACCCCTTCCCTCAGCAGCTTACTCCAATGCCTGACCACCCTTTCAGTGAAAAAATCTTTACTAATATCCAAGGAACCTCCCCTGGACCAACCTGAGGCCATCTCATCCTGTTGCTTATCTTGGGAGAAGAGATTGATCCCCACCTCACTACCACCTCACGATTTGTAGAGTGCTAAGGTTCCCCTGAGCCTTCTTTTCTCCTTAACCTTCATGAAGGGCACCAGAGAACCCCCTGTTAACTTGTTTGCCCTTTTCAATTCTTCAAGTAAYAAACAGATCAGGAGCTGAAGTGCAGATTTCCAGCAACCTGACTTGGCCAGTTGGAGCTTGCAGTCACACGCTGGGGATGGTGGTGGTGTTGGACCATGAGTCTGCTGGATGCAGGGGTTCCCTCCCACATGATTTACTGAAGAYTGTAYTGAAGTGACATCATYAAAAGGGACTGATGTGAACCTGGCAGTGSTTCCTTCTGGTACCATCTTCATGGTGAGGGAAGCCTGAGTGACTGCAGGTGTCTTTGSAACTACATTCCCTGGTGCTTTGTTAGTGCAGTGTGAGCCAATCTTGTTCCATGTCAGGAGATGCAATAAGGGGAGGCCTGGACCAGCAGAAGGATGCAAAAAACATCTCAAGCAAATATAACAGGCTCCCTATATAGAACACTAATGACTGTTTTCCTCAGGTTATAATAAGGCAATGATTTAAACAATAGACTTTTTTTTAAATGGGATCAAACTTGGTTTCTCAAGGCATAAGGAGAAACAATTACATGTCTTGATGTACTATGTAGATAGCAGCACACCAGATGCAGGAGGAAGCTTGCAWAAAATTGGCAGAGGAGCTGCTGTTATGGCCAAAGTTTGATTCTGTTAGCTGCAGGAAACAAAAAACAAAAACACACAAAACACCCAGATTTTTTAGAGTCATTCATGTTTTGGGCATCTAATTCTGTGGTTTGAAATCTAATAAACTCTAATTGTGCAGATACTGCTTCAGTGACATTGTGCAGAAGCCTTGCCTCTCATGGGTAATCTCTCTTTCATAGTGACCTGCTTTATARTTCAAAATAGAACAGGTCTAAAAACTTCCCTTTCTTGTAGGACTTCCATTGGCAGACCTCACTGTAGGAGATCCTGTCAGCTCTAAACTTTACAGCTGTTGATGCATCTACCTCTTTTCCAGATGGGAAGAATATGTCTACACTCTCTTTGGGCTATTTTCTTTCCTTTATCTTCAAGCAGATGTGTCAGGTGTCCATGTTGAGATGAACAGAAAGTCAGTGCAGGTGGAAGGTAGAACAGTGAGGGAGGAACAGATCTTTGCCTGATGCTGGTAAGTAACTCTGCAGGACTGATAAGTCTTTCACATGCTTCTCTAAAGGGAAGGAATTAGTACAAATTAAGTAATTAAAGAAATTGGCTTGTACGTTTGCAGAGGGTACGTGTAGATAGGTCTCAAATAGCTGTTTGTTCTTGGAGTGCTGGTTGGCTGTGGAACGTTCCCTGTTTTCACTGCCTATTCCCTCTTCACACCACCATTATTTTGCCTGTGTTCAAATCCCACACATCCRTGATTAAAAGAGGTGCTCACTCTCAGCAAGCATATAAGGGTAGGATTATTCCTCCTACTTACTGTGTAAAAGACAAATGTGTTGCGACTGAATCACTCTGTGGGCACCATCAGGATCCTTGAAAAAGTATGGCTCTTCTTTCTGCCAAGATATGGCAGCAGGGGAGAAAGTAGCACCATGCTTTTCTTRCCTCTTAGTTTTCACTATAGAAAGTAGATTTTTTTTTCTTCAGAGCAATTTGAATTCCTTCAGAGCCTATACTGTGGTTGTCAGTGCCTTATATGCAGAGACAGCCAGCTGCTTTCCTTCTGCTCTTGACACCATGTGAAGGGCTCTTGAAGRGGCCCTAAGAATCACTGCATTGCAGGAGATGGATTGTGCAGAATCTCTCACTCCTGTTCTTCTGGAGCAAAGCAGCAACAAGGGCTTCCRCAGAATTCACTATGCTGCAAGAGTTTGTAACATGGGGGAAAGATGTCATGAAGCAATCCCCTTCTTGCATTGTCTCTTAGTTGTGTTTCATGCTAAAAAACACCAAGYCAGGTAGTTCGTTTAAAGACAAGGTGCCCAGGCCCTCAGAATGTACTTCATAGGCTAAGTCAGAATCTGACACAGGTACAAGATCTGAAATGATTCTTCATCACAGTTCGAACCTTTCTTACCTGGATGGTCCTTCACGTTCCTTTGCCTCTCCCACACTGTATTCCTTAAACTTTYAGATTGGTGTTTGTTCTTTCTAGTGTGTCTGCTCCTGTTTGAAGCAGTTGGCACCAGCTAGAATCTTGAGTGCATTTGTTATTCATCCCAGAAAGCTTGACTTCCAGAAACACTCTACCAGGACAGGGTCTGGGAGAAAATGGGCATCATTATCAATGTAACCTGAGTGCTTGCACACAGCATTTTTATTACTCTGTTGTATTGGTAAAAGYCCCATTTGGCTCTAAGGTTTGCTCATCAGACCACTTCACATTGTGTTTGCTTTTCTAYATGGACAAAAAACTCCCCATCAGAAACAATATACTCATACTTAATACTCAGCTAATAAATACAAATCAATTGCTTGCTCCAGAACCCAATGTTTGGTTGATTATAATGTTTTATGTTATCAGTAGTCTCGTAAATCTTTATATTTTATGGGATTACTGCCTATTTTTTATATGGATCCCTGGACTGTATCTGCTTCTAATCACACACAGCAAGAGTTCAGTGGCTGATGCTGAGATCCCATTTTCCATAATATACTCAGACTTGCCCTCAGCTCAGAGTGAATGCATGGCTGTGAATACTAAGTGAGACAAAAATGTTCTGGGATCTTTCTTTTGGAATAAAACCAATTTGTGGTTTTCAGAATCCATGTTGGCCTCATAAAGGCATAGTGCTTTATTAATTTTTTACACTTTATTTTTGGCTGTATGGACTCTTTCATGTGAACAAGATTGACAGGGAGTGAAAAGATTAACAAGGGGAAGACAGAAAGTCACCTCTGTGAAAGGAGCCTCCAGAACAGCAGGAATGTTGAATAGCTTTAGACATAATGACAGCTGAAGCCTAGCAAATCAAGAATAGTATTACACAACCCCAAAATTGCTCTTTATCAAGAGCAGTTGAAACTTGCTAGTTGTCCAGTTAGGGGAAAAAATGAAGTAAAGGTTATTAAAATAAACAGAAATAATTTTTTTTCTTTCTTCTTCCTTCCCCTCAGCTTGTGATTTCACCTGTACCTCTGCTGTTCCTTGCTTGCTCTTACTTCCCAGACAAGGTTGACTATTTCCTTGGGTCCTGCTTGATGCCCAAGTGCACCTTTGGCATCTTCATACCCCAGTAGTTATCTTAGAATAGTTGTCATAAAGTTTTTGCCAATTAAAAAACAGTCACTGGAAGGAAGTTGCAGAAACTGTTCTTTCCTTGCAGATATCTGTCCCGGGCTGTTATCTTCTTTAATGGTCCGGGAGCCAGATTGACCTTGTTGCTACAACATCTACAGCAGACAACGTTTTCAGTTTGCTTACAAAGTATGGATTACTCTCTGTACATAGGTAAAGGCAGCAAACAGCACAACAATATGTAATTTATAAATAAATACAAGTGCTGACACCACTTTGTTTCCTTGGAAGTCAGTCGGCAGTAAGTTAGACCTGTATCAACAWGAGGGTTTGGCTCCCACTGTATTTAAAATATGAAGATCTGCAGCAACTGGAAATACTGTGTCTTTGCATCTTCTTACTTAGAATCTTTTTGCAAGATTRTATGTAGTATTTCTTTAACAGTGCAATAAACATAAGCAAACGTAAGAGCTAAAGTTCCTATTCTTGTGTCTTTTTTTTAAAAAAAAAAAATGTTGATTTCCAGGGTTGTGAGGCTCAAAACTGCTCCTTTTCACTGCTCTGGCATGTTACGGGTGTTTTGAACCATTGCTTGGTAAAGCAAGAATCCAGCAGTTTGAGGTGTGTGCACTTGCTCAAACCCAGAGCTTCTATCTTCAGATGTTTTAAGGCAAATATATGAAAAGTGGGTTTCTTGCCATGTCCCGTTTGCACACCACAGTTGTACGGATAACAAGAAGAAAAAGACATGAGAATCTGAAGAAACACACTTCCAGCTTGGGCCCTGCRTTTGGCAGCCTAGTAGTGGATGAGTTTGAGGACTTTAATGGGACACCTGAGAGCCAGGGCAGCTCACAGGAAACAATTAAATCTCCTCCCATGTCTGAGTACTGCAAGCAGCCCAAAGGGCACTGTCAGGTTCTTGCCCTCCAGTCACATGTAGTTCATGTTTTAAAGAGTGAAATCAGTCATATTCCAAACTTACTAGGAGAAGAAAACCTACAGACTTTGCTCTATGAAAAAAATGTCTTAGGACTTAGTATGTGTTTGCTTAAAATACCAAGACATGGGAAGACTTTTCATTCTTTCATTTTTCCCTGTTAYTCTGTTTATTTGTTTGCATGTAGGTGTGTGGAAGCCTTTTGTATTTACTTCCATGCTGGCAGAGTTGAAGAGCCCTATGTCAGCATCACAAAGAAGAGGCAGATGCCCAAGGATGGGTACACAGAAGAAATTGAGAGGGAAGTGGGACAGGCTGAAGGCAAGCTGTGGGCACACAGGTCTGCATTCAGCAGAACCTCCGTGATCCAGGCATTCCTCGGCTCAGCGCCCCAGCTCACGCTCCAGCTCTACATCTGTATCCTGCAGCAGGAGATCACGGTTGCCAGAAGTAGGTAGAGCTGTTGTTATGATCTTTTTGGTATTTGGGTGGGAGGGCAGTCAGCTATAGCTGCCTTGCACAAGAATCAAGCATTTTGCAATGGGTTTCATCTCCATGACAGCTTTTGATGGTGATATTGCTTTCACGTTTATTCCATCACATTTTAGACGATAACACATTCTGTGGCATACCTGGTTTGCCATAAAAACACTGATTTGGTAAAGTGACCATTATGGCAATGAGAGGGGGGCAGCTGGAGGGACTGAGCTGCCTTCGTGAAGAAGAAAAACAATTACCTCTGTTCCATTTTGGTTTTGATCCAACCTTTCTGGAAAATTCCTTGGGGTATCCTGCAGASCATGTTTTGCCATGCTGCCTTAGGGAAGGAGTGCTTTCAGGAATGCAGTTTTAAATATGGACTGAGGACTCTGTGTCAGACTCTGATTTTGGAATCAAAAGGCTGGACTCAATCAGCTGCTGTGCAACTGTAGCCATCTCATCTCTGGACCCAAGCTGATATGCCTTCACCAAGCAGTGCTGCACCACATGGACTTCCCAGGACACATCTCTCYTTCTGTGGTACTCTGCATCTTGCTCCAGGATGTGTTCTTGATTTGCTGGCTTGCTGCTAAATAAAGAACCATCTCTGGCTGATCATGGGATAAACGGTTTTTCAGTGTAAGAAAGGACTTGGCACCTGTGTGAATTTGAAGGTGCATTTYCATTGAAATGCAAAATAGCTCTTGTTGTATCTCTAAGGCACTGAGAGGTCAGGGATCTTTACCAGCTTCCCAGCTAGGGAGTCTGAGGCTGACAGGTTAATAATTGAAATAAAGTAAAATATAATAATAACTATCMTAATAATAATCACAATGAAAGGGGTGGAGAGGGGTGAGAAGGGTGGACAGAGAGAGAGGGAGAAAAATAAAACCCAGGAAAGACAAGTGATGCACAAGTTATCCCCCAGCACCGATCAGCTCCTCCCAGACAACTGCCCCCAGTTCACACACTGAGCATGATACCTGTGGTATGGAATATCCCTCTGGATGGTTTGGGTCAGCTGTTCTGGCTGTGCTTCTTCACAGCTTCTTGTGCACTTCCTCACTGCAGAGCACAGGAAACTGAAAAGTCCTTGACTTAGAGTAAGCACTGCTGAGCAACAAGTAAAACATCAGTGTGTTATCAATATTATTCTCATACTGAAGATTCAAACTCAGCACTTTATCAGCTACAAGAAAGTTAACTCTACCAGCCAAAACCAGAACATCATAGCAGTAGTTTCTTGGAAGACGTTGCTCCTTACAGTTTCTGAGTTCTTTGTTACTAAGATGGGTTCTTCAGATAACCATGCCATTTGTGATATGGGATGAGGACAAAATAGTTTAATCCTTTGCTGAATGCAATTAGCAAAATCTCCAGTCACTTAGCTCTAGATGACATTTACTTGAGAAAGGTCACCTTTTTATTGTATTTCTTTTATACTGATTTTGACCTTGCTGGTCATGRTTGCCAAGAAGAAATCCTGTGTTCCAGATGACCAGAGAAGTGCATATTTAATAATCATTTGTAACACTCTATTGCTTCTGGCTTTTTCGTTCACTGCTAAGTTGTGAATCACAGACTGATGAGTGACCTTCCATTGGTGAAATGAACTGAGTGCTGGCTCACCAGTGAGTTTGGTGAACACACTTGCAAATGCAGCAGTTATTTAATGCTCCCCAGGAGCATTCCATGCAGATSTAATTCTAAAATACAGAAATGCAAAGAAAAAGAAAGTGTTGGTAACAGTGGCAATGTCTGTTAGAGCTCATTCATCAGAAAAACAAGAGTCCTAACCAAATTGTTGTTGTGTGTATCTTAGCTGCAGAAATACTGAAACTTTCTGCAATCTCTTTATCCAGCCAGTCCAGTTCTTATTCCTCACTTCAGATGTCTTCATCTTCCCTGTTCTTTGACACTGGTCCTCCAAATTTCMGGCTTTCTTCCATTTGCATATGTTGTAATTATCACTGTCTTGTAGTTTGATTTCCACATGTTTTGTCTTGTCTGCTCATTGGTTTATTATTTCTCTGGATTCCTGCATACCCTGTKATTCTGTGTGAATTCTGCTTGTTCAGAGGTAATGAGGTTGATATCACCTGAGAACCTAAAGTTGTTTCCCATCATGCTGGGGGCATAGCTTGTTTCTGTCAAACCTGTTTGAAACTCCTTATTGCTTGAACACTTCTGAAAAGTGTGTGCATCCTTGCCTAGCCTTTTGTCAGCCAGAGCCGTGCTGCACATTTCCTGTGTATTTCATGGTATTCATTAATTTCCCTGGATTATTGGGGTCTTGCCAGTGTCTGGCATTCTTCAAAACTGTCATTTCACAGTCTGCCAAGAATGTAAGATCAAGACAACCAGAGAGCTGCAAAAGCAGGATCAAATTTCAAGGTTAGTGATGAGCCACATAAAGCCTTGGTGACTGTTTAGCATGAAATGTGTAAAAATGTTGGATGTAATATAACATTGGAAGCCCACATGGATAGCCTAATCTGAATCTTAGTTCTATTTTGTATATATATATATATATTCCTATAGTGTCTATAATAGATTTCAGTAATAGGTGCATGTGAGGTAGCACATCTAGAGCAGAATTCTCTGTCTTAGCAATTTCTGAAGTGGGAAGAACCAGGTCTTGAAAGGACTCAGATGTAATAATAAAATACAATGAAGTAAAAGTGCTTTGCTGGATGACTCTGTTAATGCCCACCTCTGATTTGTAAGAAAAATACAGCCTTTTGGGARAAGGAAGCAAGAAGAGAAATGCCACCTTTATAAGGACTGTTAGAGRATTTGGGACTGTTCCAGGGRAAGATACTTTGCCTTTTAAATTTAYATTTCTTTGCCTGCTCAGGATGAGTAAAAGCACCAGTGTCACCATTCCACATTTTCCTTTGTGGTTGCTTTAAACCATCTTTCTTACAGAGTTAAAAGTGATGTTTGAACTGAAGGTTTGGTGACAGTAATGAGCTTTTAGGAAAGGAGCAGGRCTGGATTCGTGTATTGAACCTGAGTCAGCATGACCTATTTTTTTSTCAATGGAGAAATGCCTCTTTTGAAGGCTTGAATTTATGAGATAGGTTTGAGATTAATATAGATTCCTGAAAGTGAAATTGGGAAATAAGATCAATGTTTTAGCTTATCAAAGCAGAAAGCAAGCAGAATTCCAGGACAGTAGCATCAGTCCCTGGTAGGTAGATCTTTATGTTCCTTTAACTCTGAGATATTATTTTGTTTCATTAGCTGCTGGAAGTGATATTCTTTCACAGCTCCAAACTACAGGAAAAGTTTTGTAAAGACTTCAGTCAATATTCTTAACTGAACTCACCTGCTCTTTTGCCAGTGTTTTTCCAAGACCTAACATTTAAAAATCGTTAGCTCAAATACAGTCCTGTAAGGAAGATGTTTAAAAACACCTACTAGCAATTTCACCATAAACATTTTTAGAGAATATATACACCACCAAGCTGATATGTACAAAATTACCATATAAAATGGTAAATGCTTTTCACCTTACAGAGTGCCCTGGAAAATTAGTTATAAAGAGTCAATTAATTATTTTTCAAAGTAATTCAGAGATGTGTGTGAATCAGAATGGAAGAGAGATTAGTGGAAGTGTTAGAGAAAATTCTCTTAGAAAGTTTTTAGAGCTCTTAAAATACATTTGTTTCTTTTAAAGAGTTGCTTAAGAATTAATAACTTTAATTAAAAAAATTCCTAAGTCCTGATAATCTTGGCCATATAGCTATGCCAGAACAGTTTATTTGTAGGATATTAGCACACAAACTAATTGAAGTCGTAGAAAACACTGGTTGCTAAGCATTGCAAATATAATTGACATAATTAAGAATTCCCAACTCTGATTATTTTATCTGTTGCATTATCAAATATTCAGCATGTTGGTAAAAATTGTGAATACATTTTTACATGACTGTGTATGCAAATGCTAAAAATCCTGTGGACTGTGTGTACTTTGTTTATTCTCTGTGTCCAGTGGTMATGTACATTTGTACCTACTCAATAWGGCAAGACAGGATGCTCTCCTGCAGTGCCAGGTGACWTCTGGTCTCTGCCTTCACTTTCTGAAGAATTTAAACGTTGTGAAACCTTTTCAGGGATTCTGGGTACATGGGAGATACTGAAAATTGATTTGAATKTAAAGACATTTTTAATAAGAGTGGKTTTTAAATGCATKATACAGATGAGTATATGAATAAATCAATGTGTAGACTGTGCAGACGTGAATAAATATCTCTCTACACAGTCAGAGATAATGCATGCAATGCTGGGTTTAAATTCCTTTGGCTTTCAATTTTGTACTCTATCATGGAGCTTTTTTGTGATTTGCTTCACCATAGAACTTCACAAGCACCGAGTTATCTTCATGTCCAAGTTACTCCAAAGTTTCAGCATCTTTTTTGCAGTTTCTCATCTTTATGAAAAGGGAGTAGCACCCCTGTCCTTGTGGAGTACTGTAGGGCTTTGGGAGCAAGTTGGATACTCTTATGACAGAGCTGTAAAATTACCAAGGGCAGTATGTGTATGAGCAGCCCTTGGCAGGGGGAGGAAGGAGAGACACTTACAACTGCTAAGTGCCTTCTTTTTCATACTAGCTACTTGGAAAATATCAAACAATGACCAAAACAGGAGGTGGGATTAATGTGCAGGGTTTGACTGGGTAGAGTTAATTTTCTTCACTCAAGTATAGGCAAGGAATGGCTCTTGTGGCATTACACCCTGCTGGGAATCCCCAGGAGTGCAGTGAAGATGATTGCACCTGCACTCTGATGCAATGTGTRCTGCTAAGCTGAAGGTTCTGATTTTTCTTTTCTCTTTGTAGGTATTTCTATGGTCCTTTCTCTCCTGTCAATTGTTTACGGCGCCTTACGCTGCAACATCCTGGCTATTAAGATAAAGTATGACGATTACGATATCCGTGTGAAACCTGCTGCCTACCTCTGCATATTCATGTGGAGAAGCTTTGAGATCGCCACGAGGGTCACAGTGTTGGTGCTTTTTAGTACAGTCCTTCGAGTCTGGATTTTCCTCATTGTGGTGCTGAATTTCTTAGTTTTTTGCTGCTACCCATGGATTCACTTCTGGCTTAGCAAGTCCCCATTTCCTGAGAACATAGAGAAGGAATTGAGCAGGGTGGGCACTACCATCGTCTTGTGCCTTCTCACATTTCTGTACGCTGGTATTAACATGTTCTGCTGGTCAGCAGTGCAGGTGGAGCTCAGTGATCCWGACTTGATTAGCAAATCCCAGAACTGGTACCAAATGACCGTGTACTACATCGTGCGSCTGATGGAGAATGCCTTCCTCCTGCTGATGTGGTACATTTACAGAACAGAYTTCTACCTGTATGTCTGCGCCCCCATGTTGGTCCTGCAGCTCCTCATAAGTTACTGCATGGGCGTCTTCTTCATGATGGTGTTCTATCAGTTCTGCCACCCCTGCAAAAAGCTTTTCTCCTCCAGCGTTACCGAAGCTTTGCTGTCCTGTTTCAAGATCCTCTACTTTGTTTGCCAGAATCACAAATCCACTGTTCTGACAGGCAAAGTAGCAATGAAATCTCCTGAAGACACGGAGGAAGCACAGGACAGTAGCAAGACAATAGATTCTCAAAAGAGACGTATTCATCAAAGTGTTTCTTCCAATGCCTAGTACAACTGGAAGCAAGTAGGTGCCTTTGGAAAGTGGCAAATTACCTGCTGGAAACATTCTGCATCTTAGACATTGTGTCTTGTGGATGAGGTTTCTTTCTTGCAGGTGTAGCACTGCATGATGGCTGACAAGCCTGTTGTTGTGGAGAACAGTGTTTAAATATTTGTCTGTGTGTGTTTGTGTACAAAGAGTAATCGTTGTTTGTAGATTTCTATTTCAGAGCCTTGTKGCACATAGGTTTATTGTCACATGTTTATTTTAAGTTATTATTGGAGACATGCTTCAGARGTGGGACTGATGCTCATCTTACTCAGGAAGTCTGAGGATGGGAGGCAATGAATTTTATTTCAAATAGGATGTCCCATGGCATACTGSCCTAGCACAAAAACAGAACTTAGACCTGGACTATGTATGGACTGTAGCTGTGGTCTGCCTTGATCAAATTGCAGRCTATTTTACACTCTAATCAGTGTAATAAGGTAATACTTCTCTAAGTGGTAGAAGAATTTGACTTGCACAATGCACTGTRGTCTGGGTTGCCATGAAACAGCCAATTAGCCAGCACTGACACGGAAATGTGACTGTTACTGAGGATGGAYGGAGGGGTTATTGACTTTGCACTGTTTCACCCTTCATGTTTACTGCTTGTTAATAAGGGAATTGAATTTAACACATTAATTTTGATGTTTTGGAATAGCTAATTTTTCTTTCATTATGATTTATTTCATACTTTGTGATATTCTGGTTTCAGGGTGGTGTTCACTTTGTATAAATATCTAGGGGTTGGGCAGACAGTATGTACCAGTCACGTAAGTGCTCTCCAGTGCACATCTCTGGGGAGTGATTCACCCRATCTTAAAATGGATGTGATATGAATCATTCTCTGGCAAACTGTTACTCAGTGTTAACCAGATGCCTTCACAATTAGTTCTGACTATCTATCTCCCTTTTAGATGGCTAAAGTTAGAGAGATGAGCACTACTCAGATGGTCAGGGGTTTTGYAGTGCACCAAATAGGCAGCTCACTGTTTTCTTTTGTAGGGGGATAGGAGACACTGATTCCATTTTAAACTGTGATTTGTTATGATTGATTTAATATCATTAATTCAAAACCCTCTGGCTTCTTTACCTCAGAAGTATCATGACCTTGAAGTCTGAAAGAGAAAATAGAAGTAATTGACTTTTTGTTCTCAGCAATACATCACCACAATTAAAAGCGTTTCTGTATTTTGCAAGTTGCTGAGAAAGCTTTAGCAGATGAACACCCAAAAATTTAATGAAAATACACAAAACGGTATGTATTTCCATATGGATTTTCACAAATTAAGTGAAAGCTTTTTGCACTTTGTTTAGCACCTTCCTAACATTTCAGTGTTACATGTTATGGCTGCTCATGGAAACAAATAACGAATKATCCAAAGCATCTCCCAGTGTCCAAAGCTTAGCCTCCATTCTCTCATCATGCAGGATGCAAAGCTCTTCAGTAGGGATGACATCAGCATAATTATATTAAAAGTGTCTCAAACTCAGGTCTGAGGTCATTTATAATGAAATATGTCACTTGCAGTGCTGCAAAGACCTAACTTGCTTTTCTTTTATTATTCTTTACTACACTGTAAATTAATGTCTTCATATTTCAGTTTTATAATGAAGTTATGTTTTCATTTTGCTTAATATGTGTCTGTGTATGGTATGTGTATGTAGATGTCATTAAATTATTGGTGGGTGGTAATGGGATTTTTGGCCTGATTTTGCTGTGGGAATGGACCTCATATCTGGGGGGGGTGCCAAACACCTCCGTTCTAATTTCTCTGAGGAGAATAGAATAGTGAAGTGACTCCTTGAAGACACGACTGTTTCTATCTACCTTTGTATGTAAAAGTACAGTGTTGTATTTCTCTGTGCTTTTCTAGATGCAAATGACTGTTGTGGGTTTTTTTACAGTAGTGAGTTAAAGGAGCAAGGTAGAATGTAGTCCTTTCTTCCAAAYCTGCAGAGTTCAGTCCATGGGCTCCAATTTTCTGGTGTTTTTAGCCAAAACTGAGTATCTGTCTTTATAGCTGGACACTCATCAATATCAATAATCAGGGAATTACAGTGGTTGCCTGTCTACAGATGTACCCAGGTTTGAAATGTTAGTCTTTGGAGCAAAATTTTAAAAGGGACTTCATATGTAGAAGTAGTTAATATCTAAAGAGAGACCTTAAAGCAGACTTAGGACACTGTAAGTGGTGGTGCCATTGTGATTGTGCCATTTGGAMACAGTGAAAGCTTCACAAACCTCAGCCAGGTTGGTGCTACAGTGAAGTCAAATGTAGGAGAGTTACACAGCCAGGAGCCCAGAATGAATACAGAGTGAATACCATTAAACCTCACAGACTATTGTATATGCATATTTAAGTGTGTGCCATATTACTTCTTATTTTTATACCAGTTTCCTAAAGTGCATGCATAGGGGGCTGAATATTTAAGTCACTGTTATGACAGGAAAAAAGTATTTATATGGGTTATATGACTGTGCTGCTTTTGCCTTATTTGTGCAGAATAACCAAATGCAGTTCAAACACTACCCGAGGGGCTGTGCAGYGCTTCGTGTCACCATGGCCTGGGGTGGAGCCCAATCTGCAGCGTGGCTGCTCTGAGCTGTGCTGCCACTGCTGGTAGGAAGGTGTGGGARGGAGTCTGAGAAACAAAGATGCTGTGTCTGACCAGGGTTTTAAGGGACCAGCTGATTTTTCTGAAGTGTRCTGTAGAGCTAAGAGAGGCAGTTTTTCTCAGGATAATGACAGTCTGGAGGGTGTTGTTATCAGTACACCCAGTGGCTGCCTGGAGAGGACAGTGTTAGCTACAAAATCTGTCTGTGTATGAATGAGTGATCTCTTGCTGCAATTTCACTGTGGTTTTACTCTCCTCTATAAATGTTAGAGGGGCCTGTTGTTCCATGGAATGGTTTAGGGCTGCTGCTGAAAACTGTACCCTTTTGAGCAGTCTTAAGTCACACGAAGGCTTGTTCAGCAAGGGTTATTCTTGTGTATAAGAGTATGCAAGATTTGACACATGGGTTTTCTTTTATACTTGTAAACAACACAAATTAAAATGTTGAAAGTATCCCTCAAGTTGTGTTGGTATCAGTTCTTAGTCTGCTGCTTTCAGAAAYCCAAAGTAAATGTTACAGAGAACACTGTCACCTGTCACCACGCAGCAGCAACAGTATTTTCAAGAAGACCTGACAGAAGAATTTATCTGTGATTGATTTGGGAATTCTTTATCTCCAACCTGTGGTGCTTCCATTGGTGTTTAGCAGAAAATGTTGTAGGAGGAGGGCGGTTAAAGAGGCCGGTGTTCAATGGAACAAGATTAGTATAGGTTATTTCTTGTCAATATGACAATGTTTACTGGTTTACATTGGGAAGTGGGAGGAAATTGTTACCTTATAAAGAATATCTTAACTTATTTTCTGCCCACTTGTTTTACACTCTGGATTTACCATGTACTTATACCTGACCCTGGGAGTATCCAGCAAAATCACTGCTGAGGATTCTTGTGGAGGGATAGGAATGCACAAAAACTTTGCCACACRTATAAATGTTTCTAAGTTTAAATATATAAAATAGATATGTATTTTGTTATGTGGGAGTAAATAGATACATTGCAACAAGCTGTAATGTGTGCACATCACTTACAGGAGCATTGGTAAAAGATTTTAGAAGTCCTGGTAGTGATTGACACTACTGTCTGCTAGTAAGAGCTACACTCCCTGTAACATAGAATTGGTGAATACTTGAGACTGGTAAACTGTAATTTTGGTTTTTTAAAAAAAATTAACTTACAAGTAGTTCCTTTATTTTTCCCCCTGAGTAGCTGACAATATCTAACCTAAAACAATGAACCATATTCTATTACTTCCTACCTGTTTGAAAGGCTTATGTACCAAAGAAAATGGTGTTTTGAACTCAGATATTTGCAAGCCAGACATCATAATATTTATGATCTTGTATTTTAAAATAAAATTTTGGTCAGTGCCTCAAGTCGCTCAGGAATCAGCACAGAAACATGAATATACAGATRGCATAGATGGTAAGTTTGATTTGGCAGAGACAGAAGACTTGAAAAGTAAGAAGTGTTAAGGACTATGTAATTTCCTACTAACCAAGAAAAAAAAAGTATAATAAAACTGTTAGGTCTTGGGGTCACCCCAAAACTAGACTAAGAATGAAAGGTAAGTGCTTCAAAATAGCAATACGAAAGCTTACTGAATCTCTGCCCTGAATGAACAACTTCATATCCTGGGGGAAAAAAGGACAGTATCTTTTTTTCTTTGTTTTATTACATGCAGTATAAGGAAAACCTGTTGCCACTGAAATAAAGTTTTATGGAAATGATGAATRTCTGTATTCAGGTATGAAAATTTTGCCTTTCAGGTGTGAAATTCAGATGTGAATGCATCTGTGTGTAAAGGCTTCTAATCACAGACTAGCATTAATGGGGAAATACCGAAGCAGGGGATGGATCCTAATTTTTTGGATGTTGCTTACTGAGATCCTTCTGGAATAATATCACAGTTGAAACTTTTTGGCCCTGAAGGTGAGACCTGATTGATTTAATGAACTAGAAATAGCCTGTCTTAAGTAGGTTATGTGCCTTCACGTTCATAATTGCTTAAGTTCCTATTTTGACAGAGCAAACAGAATGACAGCAGATAAATGTTACATATTTTAACTTCTGATATGTCTCTCATTAGCTACTTGTTTCATCTGATTAATGTGCCCTGTCAGTACAGAGTTTTAATCAGCCACAGACACTTTCTGGAAAATGATAGGGAACATTTAGATGGAGAGCGATGCCAGAGGTAGTCAAGGTGAAGATTAATTCACATCTGCCTTCTAGAGAGGAAAGTAAATGTCAAAAATGATAGCACAGCACCTTGCAGACGAGGTGCTAGCATTGCATTTTTTTATGTTTAGGCRTGGATTTGCAGTTCTTGTAAAAGGAGTAGATTGTATGCTGGATTCAGCAGCAAACAGAAGAGAGGTGTGATTGCTTTGTTCTCTTGCTGGCACTTATAACACCAGTTATATTCTTCAAAATGTGTGTCCTGGCTACTCCTCCTCCCTCTCTGCTGCTTCATGGGGGTCATTTTAAATAGAAATGGAGAAACAGGCACAGTGAAATGTTAAACCAAATTTTTCAGTCGAGCTGCTGCTCTTTTGGAGCCARAAATGCTTGGCAATGAAAAGGGCTGAACTCATGGAGTGCATCAATTCTTCATTGMCACATTAAATATTTTAATAATAGTGATCAGTGTAGTAATTCAAAGGCATGCAGGTGTCATTAAAAAAAATAGATGGGAAAGGGAATTTTCTAAAAGAAGTAGCTTCAACTTCAACAAGTAAGAGAACCCTACCAAAGAACAGTAATTTGGTGTTTCTAAAACTTTTTTCATTGTGTTTATTGTGTAYTTCCCTTCCCTTCTTGTTATTTTTTAAGCAACAAGAAGAAAAAATACCAAACAGGAGAAAGATAAATATTCCACACAAAAAAAAAGTAAAATGTCACTGCAAACCTATAGAAATGTGTGTGGCAATTCACAAACATTGCATTGAGGGTTAAGCCTAGATTTCTCCATTGATGCTCCTGGAGAGGCATATTCCAGAAAGTATTCCAGGAACAGTGAGGCAGAAACTGTGAAGGTCCCTGATTTAAATGTAGCTTTATGTTAAAAAAAATAATTATCTATCTTTATTTTTTGACTGCTTTAATACCAGCAGTCTTAATTAATGCATATTATATGTATTTGTATATATGTAACACATATGCCATTATATGTGTGTGTTTATTTTAAGCATTATATGTATTGCAGTACACTCATTAGTTCTGATTCTGCATCTGAGCACAAATAGGCAATTTCCACGTTAATGGAAATGTTACCAAGGACATCCTGCGTGCAGTTTGCTTACACAATTCCACCTTCCTTATTCATGGGAAGCAATAAAATGGGCCATGCAATATATCAGGTAGTTTTTTAAACCATATGGTACCTGAATGGTTTTGATCTTGTTTTCTTCATCAGCTGACAAGATGTGATATGCTGAAAAAAACTGTCTGTTCTTTGCAGAAAGATAAAAGATAATTGATTGGAGAAACCTGGAAYACTGCACATGCTAAGCCTTGTTCATGGAGATTTGGCTGTGTGGACCAGAAATTACCCAAGCTTCCTCAGATTCAGAGGAAAGAAAAGGGAAAATTGCAGGGAGACAGGTTATCAGGTGGGAACACGCAAGGAATGTAATAAATGAAAAATTACTTCTGCTTTGCCATGAATTATGGGCCTCAGTAAGGATGTTGGTGCTGTGCTGTGAGGATTGATGGTAAGGCAGATTCAGGGAAGGCTGCAGAGTGCTGTACCATTAACTCATCAGACAACTCAAATGCCAATGACAGGTGACTCTTCACCATGATTTATCATTGGTGCAAAATGCAATGGGCACCCCGAAGGGCACCAAGCAGGAATCCATTAGCCATCAGCTATCAATCACTTATCCTACAGTGTCCTTTAGCAGCCAAGGGCTTATGTGTTTAAGCTGCTGTCTTAATAACCCATACATCACTGTTCTGCCCAGGGCACCAAGCAAATGAGTAGTTGTCTCTTCAAGCAAGAAAAGAAAAAAAAATCACTAGGGAAAGGGAAGTTTTACTAGTGAGAGATTAAATTTAAAAAACACAAACTGTTTATGATCTTAAGTGTATCACTCATTCAAAAGAAATTCTAGCAYAGTAGAAAACTAAATGCAATTTTAGCATGTGTAGGACTGTAATAATATGGGAAAAAATACTGACAAAGGATTGGAGTATGATTTGGCAGACTCTCCCTGCAGGTAACAAAAGTCTCAGTGAGGTGACATTGTGTCCCCTAATGCAAAAGAAAGTGTCATAGGTCACTGTRATTAGCAGTCAACAGCTCTGATTTAGATCAAGATAGGTGCAGCTTCTTGAGGTTTGGCASAAAACTGTGTGAGAGAAGGTTCTCTAAATCCATCTGAGAAAGAAATGAGGTATCTCCAGCCTATTGCTGCTCCCATGAAAGCCTGAGCAGTGGAAATAGCAAAATGTGATTAAGCCATCAAAACTTGCATTAAGAGGTCATAAGTACAAGAAAGCAAATGAACAAATAGTACTGTGGAAATTGTAGTCCYTGATCTAATCCACTCATTTAAATTTTAGTTTTCTTAGTGGTTCCTCTGGAAGTGCTAAAAATGGGTGACAGGAGGAAGGGCTGTGTATTTACAAACTGTTGTAAACAGTCTCGCAAAAGGAGGCTTCAATAATTATTTATCCAGTTGTTATTCACCTGGAAGAAATTCATCCCAGTTCAAAACCCAAGTAATGTAACACTTGTGTCTTCACTGGGTTTCCCAAAGAGATGGGTGGATGCTTCTAAACTYCTCTTGAGTGTAAATTAAGTCAGATAGGGCTTTGTGAGATACTSTCAGACAAGTGTCCAAATTATCAAGGAAAATCCAGAAGTAAAAAAGCTTTATCAAGACAAATGAGTGAAGGGAAACATATAAATCCAGTGATTGTGAGGCTAGAGCAGTGTAATTCCATAATAAGAGGCAATTGAGGTATGATTTGGCAGCATATAGGCTTCATGCTGAATCTTGGCACAGGGATGAGCCACTTTTTAGTAATTTAGCTGAAGGATAATTTTAAAGCAAAAGCCTCTTCCTTGGTGCCATAATTTATTATATCCTGTTATCTTGCTTAGACACATCCATTAAACATGACATCACTCCTCAGTGTTTTCTCCAATATATTACTGAAAATGAACATAAAACCAGGCCTGAGGGCTGTATCTGTCGGGTGTCTGGTCATGGAGAGTCACCTGCTGACAGAGCCGGGTCACCTCCACACTGAGGACTGGGAGGCAGAAAAAAAAACAACACTCTGTGTATTTTACAGGACAAACTGCAGCATTGTAAAGACCCCTAATGTTACCCTGTGCAGCTGGGTTTGGGCACTGAGAGGTGTTCACACCTGGGAGCTGTTCCCGGGTGCGGAGGGGGATGCTGGAATACCTCTATGGATGTTTAGTTCTGCTGATACCACGGTCATGAGCTACCACAGCACAGCTCTAGCAGGCTGCGAGGCACCTGCTTTATTTCTGGGCGTGGAAGTGGGGATGCAAACGTGTGTCAGGAGTAACATATTTTCAGCAGATCCTATTCAGAAGAACGGAAATGGGCTAATGATCTGCGGAGGTCCTTTCCCAGACTGTGATCATGAGCTGCTAATTAGAAACGGGATTTGACAGCCCAGCGCTGRAAGAGAGAGGGGAAAGTAGGAAAGCGGGTTTGATCAGGGGTGGGACAGGAAAGGAGACACGAGGGCAGGTGCRTATGGGGGAAAGGTCCGGGATGGACCGAGCAGGATCCCATCCCTTCCCCTGAGCGATGCGGGGCCGGCGCTGCCAGCGGGGGGCACCGCAGGGCTGCTGAACCACCGATCCGGGCGAGACAGGAACAGGAGAAACTGCCCGCCCTCTTCTCACATCTTTCGAGATGTTTTCTTGAGTGGGAAATCGCTGGTGCAGTCCCTCTCTGCAGGGTGGGAGGAGTTACCCTGGGCTATCGCCAGCAGTGTAAACACAGGGGATCTGAAGCCTGGAAAGAGAAATCTGGCAAAGAGCTGATGGTTGTGTTCCAGAGCCACATTAGCAGATCATAAAGCCGGTACCCTGCCGAAAGGCTGCAGTCTGGGCTCCCTCTCCCTCAGTCCTATGCAAAGCCAGGTCATTCTTACCTCTGCCTTTATGCGTGGGAAGTTACTCTGTACCAGCTTTACTCCAGTCTTCCTGGAAACTGCTGCCTGCTTAAGGAAATGAAATTTCTGTCTGTACTTGGAGCACGTTGCTGGTGGTGGCTGTTCCTTCCAATAATGCAGCAGTGAACAGGCACTCTGGCACATTTTGTGATGGTGCTGCTTGACTTCAAGCCAAGGCTAGTGTAGCAAACAGTATCTGGATCMGACATGRATTTTTTTTTTTTTAATACAACACGTGGGTCTCTCATGATGACTGCAGAAGACTGTGAGGAAGTACTGGAGCAGGGAACTTACATTGACAGTTACACCATAAAGCAAAGACCTAGAAGGATCTGCCAGTCCTTGCTGGAGCCTCACTGGCATGTTTTTTTTCCCGGCTCACATCTATCCGCTTTTCTGGCCTCCTCTCAGCGTGGAGCAATTTATTTTGTAAACAAAACAGAAAGAGCAGAAGTTTCAGACTGTCATTCCCTTGAGTGAAGGCAAGCGCGCACACTGACAGCCTGAGGCTGCGTGTGAAGAGTCCCCTCAGGGAAGACATCTTGACAAGTYTCTTGTTTGCTTCTTCCTCTTTGGTGTAGAATCAAGGGAAGGTTGGTAAACAATGATTGCACAGCATTCCGAATAAAAACTTCAGCCTACRAAATAARAACAGGTTAATCAAGGTCTCTCTTKGGCTTTCCTCCTTCKGCATGGGAAGGAGAACCTGGATCTCTCCCTCTGTTCTTCACATCACTTGCTCTTTTGGGGTTTTTACTTGCRGAATTTTTCATTGTCCCTTCTAGTGATATGTGTGAARCACCCTGGCCATTCACAAGCATCTGGCATTAAATTTGTGCAGCAATACATAGACCACTATTGCACAGAGCAGAAGAGGAACAAAATTAATTCCTAAGCAATGGGGTAAAATTACTACAAGGAAATTAAGAACCCTGAGACATGAAGACCTTTGCAACACTGTCATGCTGCAAAAGGACCAGTGTTTACTTAAATTTGCAGCACAAAGAAGGATGAAAAACGCTGTGTGTAATCAAGTAGCTTGAAAGAAATTTTATAAACAGAATGAGATAGCATTTAGTTTKTTCTACACTTCAGTTTTACACTCCTACATAATTAATACACAGCTGCCAACGTTGTTTTCTCTTGTACAGGATGCATTTTCCAAATTAGAATAAAGTACAAGACATGCAAGTTTTTGTAATAGCAAAGATGTTTCATTCATTTAGAAGGTGGAACAACCAGAATTAAATCAGGGGTGACATGTGGGTAGTTTTGGTACCATTTCTACTCAAAATTAACACACGCACAATAGGCAAAGTTTKCTGGGCTTGTCGTGTCACTTTTGGAGTTACCAGAAAATTCAAACATCAGGGAGCAGCAGAACTCACTGGCTGGGGAAGGGTCCAGCACCTCTGCCCTTTCTTTTGGGCTCAGGCAGTGAGATCARCTACTTGCATTTGATAATTGCTAGGCTGAGGACAGATGAAATGTATTCCATTTCATGGTCTCTGTCCAGGCTGTTAAAAGGACATCAGACTTGGCAATTGTTGTGGCTGATCCAAGATCAGCCCCTGCTGGGTTTGTGGCTGGTCAGAAACCTGARCCAATAAAGAAATTTTTCAGGGGTGATGGTGCCTGAGGCGATTCCAGGCAAGGCAGAGTGCCACAGCTCAGAGAATCCTGGGTGCCTGCACTGGCTCACCCCAGAAAAGGCACAAGCACCTTACCCTGAGCTRAAGGGAAGAAAAACACAGTGGGAGCACTGCCTTTCCTGGGTGGGGAGAGTGGGCTCACCTTCACTGCAAGAATGGGCATTCATGAATCAGRACTTCCCCCTTCCTTTCCTTCCCTTCCCCAGCCACTCCAGCTGTTTAACTTTCAGAGGCCTCATAAAATAATACGGGTGACCAGACCCTCTGATGACATCCAGTATTCCTGAAAGTGTTACCCCATCCCTGGAAGTATCCRAGGTCAGGCTGGATGGGGCCCTGAGCTAATGGGTGACCTCCCTGCCCATGGCAGGGATGTTGGAAGTAGATTATTTTTAAAGCCCCTTCCAACCCAAACCATTCTCTCATTTTATAGTTCTGCCAACCACATGGGATAGCCGTCAAAGGGGACTCTGAGGGTCAAAACCATAAAAAAAATAGGCTATCCGTTAACAGATGTCCTCAGTTTTGGCCAGAGTAGAGAGGAATTAGCAAGGTTTAAATGTACCAGACAAAAAGGAATGTTAAATTACGCTTTGAAGTTTCTGTGGACATTGAATTACTGGAAGAGAAATAATACCAGTGATTAGTCATCAGYGAAGATCAGCATGAACTGCATCTCAGTCCTGATGTGATAAAAAAGACAGATCTGGGGAGAGGTAGCTCTTCTGTGCTTTCTATGTTACTCTTCAGCGTTAAAAGTTACAAAAAATGGCAAAACATTTTTTAGCAGAAAACCTGACTAGTTGCATAATTTATCCTTTGTATCACAAAGAAAAGGTCTATTTCAACAGTTTATACGTATTTGAGTTATGAAATGTTACAAATAAAGGTGGTAGAAACAGATTTGAAACAGAACTGGGGTCAYGATTAAATGGTTAATTTATTTCCTAAATGAATGAGAAAGGAAACAGGGTGCTGCAACCTTTTGCTCTCACTTCCTTATGAGAGAAGACATAGAGGCAGTCCCAGAGAGAGCAGGGCTGTTGTGCACACACATCTCAGACAGCCATGGGGAACTGGGTGGAGAATGAAGGACTGTCCATCTTTGTTGTTGTAAGTACAAAATTTTTTTTCTGATTTTTGTCTGGTAAAAAGTTCTACARAAAGTTGTSCTAGGCAGTTCTTACTGTGCCAGTRAAAGATGCACCTGATTATGCTGAAACTAGGGCAGCAAGTGCAGGGAAATGCTTCAAGGGAATAATTTTTAGGGAGCTCTCTCTGGTATTTCAGTTGCTTCACTGTTCAGTACAGTTTCAGTAGGCTTCAGTGCTAGCTGAGAAATGATCGTGWGTTGACTTTACCTTGCTTTGTTAGAAATATTTTAGCTAAGCAAAAGAAATAACATTAAAACTCACTTAACTATGTGCACTTCAACAGAGAAAGCTACTAAACAACCACCCTTTCTTGCATTTTTACAAACAAAATTTGGTGTAACTGAAAGCACAGTGTCTTGCTGGTATAAAATATTTATTATTGTCAGATTCAAGAATTTAGAGCTGATATTCATGAATCCTTCATTAAGACAACTAATATTTTAATTGAATTTGTTTAYAGCTTGCATAGAGGGACTCTGAAAGTAGGTTACACTAATTCTGAGAAAGATKTAAAAGTATGGAAAATCTCAGTTGCATTTACAAGAGCTAAAGAGCAAGCAGGGCAGTTGTCCTTGGACAAAATGAAGTGTTTTCTTTTATTCCCTTCACAGTGTGATATCAGGACTATAAATATACCTATATACCTATATTATGTACATATATATATATATATTAAACACGTGTATGACACCAAAATGTAAGGGCAGTGAAGGTATTGTGGCCAAATGGGATCAGGAGATGTAAATACTAAGAGGAAGAAAAAGAAGGCATAGAACTTACATATTTGTGGTGACTGAAAAGCAAGCATGTTTATTCAGCATTATTACATTGTAATTTAGGAACACAACCCTATAGCTATGGCACTTCAGTGCTTTGAAAGGGAGTGATTGAGTTTGCTGTCACCTTCAAGTGACTTCAGGAAGTTGAAACTGCCAAGAGATGAATTCTGGCTTCCCACCCCCCCCCCCCACCCCCCCACCCCCAAACTGAAATTTAAAAAAAAAAAAAAATAAGAGGCCTTTATTCAAATAAGGAATTTGGTTTTAAACCTCAAAGCTATAACAAGGTCAGCTGTCAGCTAATAGGGAAGGAAGCTAACAGAGATACTGATGAAGAAGTCCTCTAAAAAGGCAGATCACTGGAAACCTTACCCAAATGTTCTACTTTGGCCTCTGCATCTTTACTGCACACTGAGCAGGTACAGTGCTTGAGAGAAATGGAACAGACACAATTTCTACTGATGTACCCCAACAAATGAGGAATGCACTACCAGAGTGTGCCACTGTCATTTTCAATAAATATCCTAAACACTTCATCCTGAGATTGGTGTTTTAATGAGGACTTGGGGATTTCCTGTATATTGCCTTACCCTGATGGAAATCCCTTCATTTCCCAGTATTTATTTACATTTTCAAATTCTTAACTAATACCAAGTTGTTTTACAGTGTCATCTGGGCCAAAGAACCAGCAAAATGTATGGGTTAGGAGGGGTGAGGGACTGTWATGTCACATTTTCTGGGGTTTCTCCCAGTTCTCAGACTTCCTGTTTTCATGCACCCCTTAGTAAAGCTACTTAGACTGAGTGTGCAGTCATACAGACTTGTTTCAATATGGGATATGAAATCAGYCAACCAGCTCCAGGAGGACAAATATCCACATTCACTATGATCTATTTGGCCAGATGGCCTAAGGGTTAATAACTTGTCTTTCCCTAAGAAAACCTGCACTGCAGGATGTGTAAGTGTTAGAAAATTCTGCAGTACAGCTATGAAGAAGCCCTGTTTTGGGTAGTCTACATGCTGCCAAMGGGCCTGTGTTGAATATTCCCTGCTGGCTGATTTCAGAGCCTCTTCTTGAATTCAGCCCTATGTGTAATTTAGCCCATGTAAATTCAGATCTCAAGCTTCTTTGTCCTTTGTCCCAGCTTCCAAATCTTCCTCTTACATAGGTTAATGTGCCTGTGAAACTGGCATTTGGAAGAGTCCCTGAATTTCAATAGTGTTTGGAGATTCAGCTGTGCTCACAGAAGTAAACACTTGCAATATGACAATCCTGATCCAGCCATGTCTAAGCTCCTTGACCTATAAAAAGTTTCATCTGCACATTGCTGTATTTTGGTCTCTTGCCATTCCTGTACCTGTGTTCACACATCAGAGTCCATTTGCACCAGAAAATTTTCCATCACCCTTGCTGAAAACTTTATACCCTGCAGTAGGGCTCTGTRTGCAAAGAGCAGCACAGGGAGCTAACTGACAGTTATCTGAACCTTGTAAATTCATGGATTATCTCTAATAACAAACTGAAAGCTTCCTGTATAATTCTCTTTCAGCTTGTGTGGCTGGGCTTAAATGTCTTCCTCTTTTGGTGGTACTATCTTGTGTATGATGTCCCACCAAAATTCTTCTACACCAGAGTGCTCCTTGGCGTAAGTACAAGACATTATTATTTTGGTACAGACAGAGCACGCAGCAGTTTGGAATTGTTTTAGTTGTTCAAAACAGGATCTAGTGGCTGGAGCAGCAGGCTCATGTAGGAGTTAGAAGTCACATGCAAACAGATAATTGAAATCAGAGAGATGYCCAATGCTCCTGAATAGAAGGCTGGTACACAAAATAAAGAGATCTCACTCTAAAGATGTTTTCAGTTAATTATTATGCTAGTAATTAAATTAATTATGATGCTGGTTATTAAAGTGAACATTTATTGTGGCTGCTTTATTAAGGAAAAGATGAATAAAATATTGCTATTGAACTATAGTGCAATCATTTCCCCTTGCAATTATTTTTCAGAGCATGAATAGTTTACAAAGATATTGGCTCTGAAAAGCAAWCATCATTCATATATTCATCAAGCATGTGAGTGGTAGTCAAGTAGTGAAATGATCCTTGATCCTGGGCTACTCCRTATTGTCCAACTGGTTAATGCAGCATTATGTGTCCTACTATGAACWTCCTTCCAAAACTACCACAGGTCATGACCAATTGAAAGGGAAAATTAATTTGTTCACATATTTTAAAACCCTGATCACAGACATAAAAATCAGCCTAAGCTTTGGATTACAGAGCACAGCATTTTGCCAGAGGTTTGCAAAGCCATGGTTTAATTCTACAAAGCATGAAATCCCATTCTGCATATGGCTTCAGATCTGTGGATCAAATCCTGTSCTTTGCAATCATGGTGCAGTTCCCTTTGAAGTCACAGAGACTTATGCTTGGATAAACAGAGCTCAGGGTAACCCCAAACAGCTGTGGCCTGAAACCTAAAAGGGTCTCAATCCATGCCAGCAGAGGAAATATTATTTTTCCTTCCCTACATTGTGTATGGATTAATATGGTCATTAGTTCTTCATTTCAAGCAGTTCAAAAATCTTAAATAATTCAGGGTGCAAAGACCAACATTAAGAARACAGATTCCTAAAAGCTAAGGCAACAAATTTCCTTAAACTCCTTTACMGACAGAGAACTTAAACCACTTCTCCTATAAGCTGTTCATCTCCCATAAACCCCACCAAACTGAAACCACAGACTTTCCTTACAGCCTTGGGTCACAAAACTCTACTACTGGCTTAGATTTGCACCTGTGCCTGATTGCCAGATGTGACAGGGAGTTTTTTACACAACYGTTTGATTTCAGAACTGAAAAGAGAAGGTGTCTGTGTGTCTGTAGCAATGGGTTCTGCCTGCACATGTCTCTGATTTGACCAGAGCACGCTTTACCTTGAACATTCACCATGTTAATGTGAACTCTGGATCTCACACACTTTACAAGTCGTGATATAATACATAAATAAAATCTGTGCCTATCCATGCCCTGGATMATGTCTTAGGTAACGCATTTAATAACAGCATCTCTGCAATTGCAGCGTGCTCTGGCTCTTGCAAGGGCTCCTGCAGCCTGCCTGAACTTCAATTGCATGCTGATTCTGCTGCCAGTATGTCGAAACCTGCTCTCCTTCCTCAGAGGATCAAGTGCGGTAAGATGAAGAAAGAATTTCAAAATTATGAAACATAATAACCTAAACACCCCTGCAAATATACCAAGAAATTTTTGTCCAACTTCCCCAAATTTAGTGTATTTTGAGGATGTTCTCTTATAAGAAGCAGATAAGCCTGGAGTTTTGCTCTAAGCAAGACTGAGGTCTGATTCCCTTGGGGTTTCTAGAGCTCTGTTGAGAGTTTAGCTTTGCATTAGTCTCCTTCAAGTCTTCCCTTTTTTTGCTGCCTCCTGGGTATGGTGCTGCCCTGAATGCAAAGTCCCTCTTCTGGCTGGCAGCAGCTGTTGGTGCTCACACACATCCACCCTGTTTGTCACTGATGTTACACCTAGTAGAGGGAAAAAATAATCTGTCTGCTATCTTTGCATGCTCAGTTCTGCAGGAAAGTGTAGTCTTTTACAGACTTTCAGAATGGGATTTTTTTTTCAGTTGTCTCATAAATTATGTTCTTTCTTGTCTGAGTTGCATTTTGATCTCAGGATGAAATCATTCACAGGCCTTTTGACYTTTTCTAGCTCCCAAATGCAGATGTTACACAGAGCACCAAGGAACTGACACTAAGGAAAGGACAACTGATTCTAAGTGACAGCTGAAGAAGCTTCCTAAGATAGTATAGCTGACTGTATCCCACTGCCAAAATCTAGAATTCTGGCTATTACAGCAGAAATAATGTAGACAATGCAGGCAGTGGCCCAGTGAAAAAGCCTTATTCTCCTCAAGTTCATTAACTGTCTTTCCAAATGTATAATGGTTCCTCCTTTCTTTCTGGAGATTTGAATATAAACACAATCAGCAAGYATATTTCCCAGAAGTTGTTTTTCATCTCTAAACCTGTATAAATTCCCTCATGCAAATGAGACAGCCTGCAGGGACTGAGAGAGCAGAGCAGAAGAGGAAGTGATAAAATAGATGCAGTGTTTCAAGAGTCCTTCATACGGGAAGAAAGTGGGATATGAAGTAATAAGAAAATAACCAGAGACAACCCAGGCTGTACTTCCATTTAGTACAGACATCCTCACARTAAGTGTGAATAAGGCTGAATAACTGAGCTGTTGCCTGCCACATTAAACTCTTTAATTACATTTAGGAGCAAGGCGAGTGCTCTAACCTTTCTAAGGAATAAAACTTAGGGATATAAATTTGGAACTACATGTCAGGCTTTCAGTCTTTTCTTATACTCCTTCAGATCCTGGGATGCYACAAAAGCAGACAGCCATACCCTCCATGTATGTAAAAGGAAAAAGGATAGCAAAATAAAACTGTAGGGTTAAAGTTGTTATTCCCTTGCCCAAAGGGGAATAGATCAGCTAGTATCAGCCAAWATTCAGAGCTGACTCCTCTAGCTGCAGAAGTTAATAATGAACATAAATGTAGAAAGAATTAATGATGCTATGGATAAATGCAACTGGAAAATAATKATGATCTCTCTATCATACAAGGCCTTTTTTAGATTCCACTGGTGAAAGCAGGTTGGGCAGAGGTCTTCTGAAGTCAAAGTGGTGAAAGAGCTGAAGATACATATGGAGACATTACTGGAAGGCTGAAACCTGTTTTTGAGATGTTGAGAATTGTACTCTAGCTGGGGCTTTATGCTACTTGTGAATTGCTTCTCTCCTAACATCTGTAGTTTAACTTTTCTAATCAGGATCTTGATGAAACTCTCCCTCTTGCTATTCAAGCTGTCAGCCCTTCTGCCTTGGGCACTGTGGTGGAGTCATTCACTTTACACCCAGCATATAAGTGACTCTCAGGCAGGGAGATCCAGCTGCATTCCTGCTGCCTGCTGGCAGCTCACTCTCCTGCTGACAGCTGGGAATGAGGAAGCAAAGAGCTCTGAGGGTGAGCAAGGAGGGCAGGGAGGGGCATAAAATATGGCTCTGAGACAGCTGGTGTTTGCTTAGCTTCAGCTGCTTTTTTACAAGAAATCCACACCTCAGGAAGGATGTAATTTTAGATCTTAAGCAAAACACACACAACCCAGTGAGCCAGTGGCAGTGCCAGCACTGTGGTGGCCTTAGCWCAGGGGGASAGCTGCTTGTGCTTGCTGTGCTGYTGTCTCCAACTAGCTGTGCTCTGCRGGTAACAACTGTGAGCATCTACAAGAAAAAACATTTAAATGTCAAATAACTTACTGAAAGGTAGTGATCTTGCCAACAGCAATGTCACTGGGGTCAAGAAGAGGAAAGAATTGTTCAAACCCAGTGTTCAGTGGTAATGTACTGAAAAGTCTGGCTGTCTCCATTCTGCCACCCAGAAATCATATGCTACAAAATTTTTTGGTTTTAATTGAAAGAACAKCTGTGTTGTCTTTTGCATGCCTCTCATTGCTGTATTTATCCCTGTTTTTAATGAGCCTCACGACTGAAGGCATTTGGAGCYCTCTGCCATTGCTTGGCCTTCCCTTCTTGAACAGATCAAAGGGCTTTTGCAARGGAGTCAAGCACTTCCTCACTGTGCTGCATTTCTTTCTACAATCTTTYGTTATTGTCTCTCAATAGATGTGATACAAAAGGGCCAAATTTCTCCTGGTTGTTGTTACAGTCTGAAGTTGTTGTGACAGCCCCAGGGTATTTGCCATATGTGAGGAAACATTTGTGGAAGTTTGCATAGTGTTTTCTTCCCTTATCCAGTAAGCAAACACAATTCAGACACATAACACATGACAATCATGCCTTCTGCTGTGTGGAGACAGCAAATGCCAGATTTACAAGAACTTACACTTCTAGCAGAACTCCCAGTGACTGCAGCACAATTCAGATGGGGCCTATTAGGAACTTGTCCTCATTTGTAACGTAAATATCAATTTATTTGGTTTGTATCTGCAGAAATTTTTGCTGTTTCTTTTTGGGTAACTCCAACACCAAGTTGTAAGTGAAGATGTGGGAATTACACCTACTATTTTGGGGAAGGAATGCCTTCATATCACTGCCATAGGTGACTATTTGGGAGAGGAGTTTGCTGAGACAGTTAAACCCCAACTTTGCAGCCCATTTCTAGATTGTGAGCCACTATAGGATTGTGATGCTACCAAAGCAGTCACTCTGCCATAGCAGACTGTGATCCCTCCTTCTGTTTATAATGTGCAATTCAAAACAGATAAGAWGTATTCCTTTCTCATACTGGATGGTTTTTTTTGTTTTGTTTTTTTTTGCTTATCAAATACGTAATTTCAGTGGAATGTGTTAAAGCATAATCTGTAATTCCTGTATTCTAAAAGACAGGGAGAAATATTTTTGTCTATATTTTGGAATGCTAAACCTTTCCTAGCAATGCCATCAGTGTGTCAGGGCCTCTGTTTTTGTCCCTGCATTTAAAAAGTGCATAGRCAACAAAAATAGTCTTTAAATACCTTTTTCTTCAAACCCAAAGTGCTGCTCTACCCGTATCCGACGACAGCTGGACAGAAACCTCACCTTTCACAAAATGGTGGCCTGGATGATTGCCCTTCACACTGGTTGGTATTCTAACGTTTCTTTATTTATTGCTTTGTTATGTATTTTATATGAAATCTGCGTCAGATCCAAGTTCTTAGGGATATGGGCAGAGACCTGATTTCATTGAAGGAATCAGTGTGTGTTTCAAGGCTTAAATAGGTTTCCAGCTACGTGCCAAATGGGAGAGAGCAAAAGATGAACAAGGAAGAATACCTTTATTTTGAACCATCAGTATCATTTATGATAGTTTAATAAAGGGTGTTTAGCAATGGCCTGAGAACCAGACACCCTGGGTATAATTCTTGCTTAGATTTATTTCTTATCTGGCATGTCTGGAACAAATAACAGAAATATTTCAAAAAGAAAAAAAAAGGATATAAAAAACTTGGGCTGGCCATGACAATGGTTTTCTRTTTTCTCTCTCATTTCTTAATCTAAGCATTTTCTGTCTTTTTTTAATCAAATTTCTCACTTCTCAATGCAAGTACCTTACAAATCATGTGTCCTAGAGCTGGAAGCTTCCCTTTACTTCTTTCCCACCCCCACCCAAAAAATGTAAACTTCACATGGTAAAGCTTTAACAATTAAATATCAGTGATCTGAAATTGTGATGAAGAGGGAGAGAGCAGCAAAGCTCTTAAGGTGCAGTTGGCAAATGTGACAAAGTTTCAAATGTTACTCAAAGCCACCAAGTGCTTGTGATCAATGCTGATTATTCCTTTCCTGTCACTCCTAGCAATTCACACCATTGCACATTTATTCAATGTGGAGTGGAGTGTGCAAGCCCGTGTTGAAGAGAAAGGCACTCTGGCAGCTGCGCTTTCTGGCCTTGGAGACAAACCAAATGAAAGCTATGTCAACTTTTTTAGACAAACTATTGGGGTAAGTGACACCAGGCTCTTCAGAATCATCATTACATTTGTTTCAGTGATCATATAAGACCATTGGAGCAGAGGGCCTATTTCTGGTGTCCACAGTCTGGGTTTGGGCCATCATGCAGACAAACTTYGTAGAATCCATTCTTCTATATTTGCCAGTAATATCGTTGCTGAACTTCGATAGTACTTTAAATTTTTATACCTGAGAATTTCAAAGTAGCTTTAAAACATTATGTAAAAACAAATACCCTGTAAAGCTGTGTTCTTAGACAGACATGGAACTTAGAAATTTTTGGTTTTGTTTTTGTACCAAAAATACATGGTACGCAGAAATCAAGGCAAAAATTTTGAAGTTGGATGGCTTAAGCTCTTATCATTGGGGAAAATAAAAGGGATTTCACTATTCATCAGAAGAGCACTGAGCATCCAAACTCTGCATGAGTTGAGTCTCACAGCTGTGCAACATAAGAGGAAATGAGAGCTTTCATTCAGCTCCTGAAATACAGAGGTAGAAATTCAGCTCTTAACATCAGAGCTGTRCAAATGTATTCACCTTGCCCAACCCTGCCCTGCTGAGCCATGGCAGAGTAGGAAACAATGTTGGGTGTGTGAATTTGTGGAAAACCCTTCCTCTCTATTTCCACTCACCTGAGTAAAGGTAAATATGCAGTGCAACAGAAATGGAGTGGGATTCTGGCATCAGATGACTTAAAGACTTTTAACAAGGTAAAGGGTTTTGTGAATGTTGGTTCATCTGCCTCTGATTTGTACAAACCCTTAAACCAATGTGTCCAATTATTTCACAGAACCCCGTTGGGGGCCTATATGTGGCTTTCACGTACTTGGCTGGCATCACTGGGGTTGTGATCACGCTGGCCCTCATCCTCATCATCACCTCATCCACCAAAACCATCCGGAGGTCGTATTTTGAAGTGTTTTGGTACACCCACCATCTCTTTGTCATCTTCTTCATTGGCCTYGTCATCCACGGTGCTGGGTGAGTATTTGTCTTATCATGAGCTACCAGGAAACACATGATAACTACTGTATCTTCATTTAAAGCCCACTCACACATGACTATAGGGATTTCAGACACCGAGCAGCAGTTTTTGATGGCAGCAATGGGCCAATACATTACTAAGGGCCAGGAGGCTCTTACTGATATGTGCAACTTGCTGTCCACACACAGGAGGTGACTTTGCATATTGGAGCTCACTGACACTCAGCTTCTTCTGATATCTTAATTGCAAAGCTCTTTTCCAAGGCTGCTGTTTMTAATTGTTAATTTGCCTTTCTCTCATAAAAGGAATTGCATCACACACATATGTGTAAGGAGGTCTCAGTATAAAAATTACACAGAGTTTAGAATTTTATTGGGTAAATGAAAACTGTAGTACTATAGATTTATCTTTCAGTCTTGAATGATTTTCTAATATTAGCAGCATTTCAGAATTAATGTTTACCTGTTTCAACTTAGATATAGGTATTCTTAAGGTTTTTCTAACTTCCAAATGCCAAACGTTTTTCTGCTGTTATTCGTTCCATATCTTCATCTGAAAGATCTGAAATCCTGATGAAACAGTTTTAGGACTACACAAACACAATTTTAGCACTTAGAAAAATTAACTTTAGATCCATTTTATAAAACCAAAGAATTGATGAATRAAGAAAAAAGACTCAATTATCCAAGCTACATTTCAATAGTACATAATTACTCTACATTGTCAGTTCTAAAGGAAATCCTATGTGCATTAGAAAGTGTGCTTTAAAATGCCCAGCAAAAATGGCTATTGAAAACCACTTCCTTTCAGTCCATTAGTGCCATTAAAAAGACAGAAATTACAGTAAAACAGGAAGAACAAAAATAGAAGGCAGATGGGAATCACCCTCAGTATATTTGTCCATTCCAACTTTCATTACAAGGAGATGGTTTGAGCAAAACCTGTGGAAGGAAAAGAGCATGTGTTTCATGTTTTCTGCAGCAAATACTGTATAGTTACTGACCCAGTGACCAAACCTGCTGTTAGTTACTCCAGAATGCTATCAGAAARCAATCACTGCTCTTTTTAGATTTCAGTGAAGAGCAGGTATCTAATAAAAGTTGGTTTTTAATTTACTTTGATGTTCACTGTGCTACCTCCATTTTAATTGTACTCGAACGGAAAGGCAAGAGTTTGGACAGCAGTGGTTGTCAGCAATGTTCAGCAATCCTTTGGAAGCAGATTAACACAGGAATATTATCATCTGTAGAGGGGAGGATGCTTTCTGGCTGTGAACTCSGTGACCTCACTTGTTTGGCCTTAAAGGCAATAATGACCTTTAGAGTTTAGAGAAAATGCTAATAAACTAAGAAATATGAGACAGGCTTGTTACACACAAGGAAGGCATCTCAAGTGTGCAAAGGTGGATGCCATGGAATGAGTATGAACTCACAGTCTCAAAGYAACATGTCAGGAAGAGGCATAAATTCCAGTTTACCTCAGGGCAGAGAAGGCTGTCACGCACCTTTCTAYACAAACAAACATCTGTGTGTACACAGATAGCTGAGCCAAAAATTAGTGATAGCATCAAAGGGGCGGATTTGAGAAAGATGGAGAGAGAATATTTACAAGAGCATGCAGTGACAGGACAAGGGGAAATGGCTTCAGACTGAAAGAGAGTGGATTTAGATWAGATATTAGGAAGAAATTCTTTACTGTGAGGGTGCTGAGGCAMTGGYACAGRYTGYCCAGAGAAGCTGTGGATGCCCCATCCCTGGAASKGTTCCAGGCCACGTTCATGAGGCTCTGAGCAACCTGSTGTTAGTGAAAGGTGTCCCTTTCCATGGCAGGAGGGTTGGAACTGGATGATCCTTAATGTCCCTTCCAACCAAAGCCATTCTGTGATTTGATTCTTTGACTGTACAATAATTCTTGTCAGTTACAAGCTGTTAGAGCACTTTTGTAGCACTGATGTTTTTTGTGCATGAGCTGTGTGCCACAGACAAATGTCCCAAATTTCTGACCACAAAGAGGAGAGAGATGAGAGATGCAGTTCAGCCAAAAAGGTAGTGATTATAAGGCTATACTGCTGAAAGCTAAATTACAGTACTGGAAAGAGCATCTACACTGAGTAATAATGGGAAAGTTTTTTTCCTTTTCTTGTTCAGGGTACTGACATTATCAAACCTTGAACAGAGCCTAAGTCAAGGCAAAAATCCCAGACCCCGTTTCCCTTAAGCAATGGGTGAGCAGTGGAGGAAATGGGCTCCTCCTGTTCCTGTAACTCATCCCAGGCAGGGGCTCAGCTGAACCCATTAGTGGGGAAGTGAACTGCAACTGCTGATGTTCCTGCAAATTGCAACTCGTGATGCTCCTGTCACTGCTTCCCTTTATTTTTCAGGCAGGATATTAATCAAACATTTAATGAAGAAGAGGTTCATTAGTAATATTTATGAGAAATATCTTATCTCTCAACACTGTGCAGAGGTTTCCTAATAATCCTAGGATAAATCTGCCACCCAGAGCTAGCCATGCATTTGGCTTAGATACCATGGGTTTTKTTGAAATGTCAGAAATATGGTCTGGTTTACAGAAATTGAGCTGGAAAAGCAGGAAGAGAAGTCATGAGCAGAAGATATTGAAGAATCATATTGGCACAAACCTGAACAGCCTAATAAGAACCAAACTGTTTCTAGGGAAAATTCAGCAGACCTTAATCTGGATTTTTGTACTAAGATCCTGAAGTTGGCAGAACTCCAGAGAGAGATAGGAAATAGWGAACAAGATCAGAATAGACTTTTGCTCCTCGAAACTGAAACAACTTCAGCACCAGTTCTGCCACTGGAAATAGAGCTGTACTGGATCAGTTAGGATTCTTTATAATGCAACAAACAACAACAAAAACCCCAACCAAGCAAGAACACAGAGGTCAGAAAATCAGCTGACACAAGCTGGTATAGCTGCAATAGCTGCTTTGTTTCAAGAGCATCTTGTTCATTCACAGCACCTGAATAGCTGCTTCACAGTATCAGTGGGAGAGGAAGGGCCAAAGTAAGAATGKGTGTTGGAAAGGGATCTCCAAATTTCTAAAATAAATAGCAGAAATAATCTCTGTAGTGGTGTGTTGGAAATTGATTGTCTACT